TAAATTCAAATTAAATTCTGATGTCTATAACATGAATACTAGACAAAAATATAACTTCCACCTACCCTCATCAACTTTATCAGTATATCAAAAAGGAGTCTACTTTACTGGCATAAAAGTGTTCAACAATCTGCCACAAAGTATTAAAAACTTGGACAATGATACTAAAAAGTTTAAATCAGCGTTAAAGAATTATCTGCATGCTCATTCCTTCTACTCTTTATATGAATACTTCAACGTAAATAGAGAATGATGTAAAATTAAGTTATATTAATTTTTAAGCTAAAATTGCCTGTACTTATGTATGTAACCTTTTGACTTGTTCTATATCCAAAGGTACTGCTTAGGATTTATAGAATGTAAATAAATTCAATTCAATTCAATATGACAATTACAGCTGCATAATAATGATAAAAAGACAAATTGTGTCAGGAAATAGCACATCTTCAATCACTTTCTGCATCATTTACCATCATTTTGAACCTGACTATGGAAGTGTTACACTTGGCCATATGTGACATACTTTGATGACAAAAAACAATTTGTACAACAGCTTCCCCTCATCCACTGGCTTTCACTTTCGTAAACATGCTGTTCGTGTAAGCAACATAATGAAAGGCCGAAAGTAGGAAGATGGGGTGGACTGGCCTGCAACTGTGTTGTGATGATTCGCATCTCCAGTTCACTCTTTTAATCTTCTAGTTGTGTAAAATCAATGTAACATTTGCTGATGAAGACACAGCCTTTTTTGTCCACTGCTAGGCTATCTTGGGAGATTTAGGAAAGAGAGTCAAGAGTGATGAACAAAGCCCATCAACAACAATCTCTGTGTTACAGCATGCTCAACTGGTCACCCTTGAGGCCAGTACACATGCTTTATGCTCTATGCTTGGCTGGTGGGCCTGTGTGATCCTAAACAACATATAAGATCTAAAAGTTTGTGACGATGGTACATTGGTACAAATAATATATCTCTGGACAATATCCATCGGCTTGTCTCTATCTAACAACCATCCTGTTTATTTTTCAAAACACAGTGGTTCGGAGACTGGATTCTGTCTCTGTCTTCAGATAAAACCTTTCATTTGGGCCCAATCAATAGAGCTAGTCCCTATCTCCAGACACCTATGCCAGTTTCAAGAAGGGGTACATAAATCAAACACAGCATAAACCATCTGTGAGAGCTAAGAAAATATTCAATTACTGAAATTCCACATATGAGGCCTTGCACCAGAGAAGTATCTTAATTGAAATCTCTGGTGCAAGGCCACGGATGCAGACACGCACACACACCCCTTGTTAGAAATAATGATCAAAAACGTTTTCAAATGCTCCAAGAAACAACTTAGCCAGCTGTCAAAAATAACAAGATCCAAAGGACCCATAACTCACTCAACTGCTCATGATAAATGCTACACTGGTGTCACAAGTTTACTTAACAACATAACACAATTCCTCCAATTTAGGTTTCAAGAAATGGATTTACTGACAAGAAGTTCCTGCCTGCCTTCTCACATTCAGACCACAGAAATAAAGAAAGGTGTGAAGTAAAATTCAGGTTCCCATCCACATAATGCATGTACCTGTATGTGTGCGAACATGCTTCTGGAGGTCACCTGATGTCTTAAAGCTCTTGCCACACGTTTCCTCAGGGCACTTATAGGGCTTCTCCCCAGTATGAGTACGAACATGGGCCTTCCGACCATAACCTGTCGCAAATGCTTTGTCACAGCCAGATTCTGTACAACGGAACGGACGATCACCTGTGTGGGCACGTTCATGAACCTTGAAAATGAAGCAACAGGAAAGAACAGGGTAAGATTATCAGTATTGCTCAGTTCATACTTGGTGCTTCCCCGCTTCCCCACTTCCCTTCCTATTGTCTTCTAATGAGGCAAACTGCAGTTTCTCACAGACAACCTCCCACTTTTAAGAGACCTACCTGTTGTCATCTACTAAGGTTAATTTCTTGTAATCAATGCTTATTGTAAATAATGTTAAAGTGTGTTTCTCTTAAAACAATTTTCAGACTTCTACTTATATACATTCATTCATTCATTTTATTTGACATTCACAATTGCTATAAGAGTAACACTTGAACAAGACACATCATCAATTACATCATTCTTGAAATCCTTTTGCCCAAATGCCTAAAGGATTAGAATTTGTCAACAATAATCACTCTTGACATGGTTAACCTATAATTAAAATATAATACGGACTATCAAACCAGATAAATAATCAGATTACATACATATGTAAATCGAAATGCAAGCCAACCTTATGAGTTTGTCAAGAATTTTAAGAGTATTACAGTAATTCAACAGTCCAACATATGACCATGTCAATCACCCATCACATTCAGATACTGCATGCAACCAAAAAAAAGGTTTTGCTATGCTTACTACTGGCATATAAAATCATCTTTCCTTCTAATATTACATTCATATTCTCGTAGAGTGTAAATTATATCTCCGAAATAACACAACACCTCAAAGATACAGAAAGAGGTAACAGTTAAAATTTTTAATTCTTTAAAAATAGGTCTGCATGATGTTCTGCTATTTACATCTTTCATTAAATGAAGTAGTACTCAGTACGAATGACACAGCGCACACGTAACATCATAACGCATATAAGCCCACACACCACCAAGAATGACTACTTCCATCCACAGGAAGAATTGATAACCAACAACGACTTACGACAATTTGAATTAAATTTTAAATAGTTTAATAGTGATCTAATCCAAACATAAGGAATCTACTGTGGGAAAAGTGATAATTCCTGTGCTGTGTATAGCCTATTGGCATACTCAATTATTCTACATGTTTATGTTTTTATACGAGTGCCGTCATAACTAAAACCTGTGACAATAATACGAAACATACATTTGTGAATAACACAACTGAAAGTGAACATCAAACCAGCATAATTAACCTTTAAGAGACGGCCATTTAAATTCCAGTAGTGGCAGCGGGACGGATTTAATTTAAATGCCCGTCATTGTAGAGTAATAAAAATTGTAATCATGTTACTCAAAATGCTGTGATTTCTACAATTTTTGTGATAAACGAACGAAATAAACGCTGCTTTTATCTAGAAAGAATATAGAATCAGTTATTGTAATTTATCGATTTTAAAATCTCTTAAAATTTTTACACTGATGCCAAAAATAATTTTTCCCTCAATTTCGAATGTCTGTGCACAAAAATGCATACAGTTCCTGCACAAGACGTTTCTGCAGTCTGAATGCCTGCTGCTGACATCATTTTCTAACTATGGCTTAGTGGCAACAGGAGGAGAAGTTTACGCTTGCGTTCCTCATTCTCCAGTTCGTAGGTTCCTTTCGGTAAGCACGAGTGTGGGCGATGTCTAATCGTTCGCAGAAACACTGACTGTGTATTATCTCGTATAGACAAACAAGAAGTAGTCTGTTTTGAAATATAGCCGAGCAGTGTCAGAACGTTCAAGGCTAGCGTTGTGTTTAGCTGTCCACCATGGCCTCGTATTTGGAGGATACTGAAATTGAGAATCAGCTTACAAATGACACCGATTCAGACTGTTGTACCGATGACTCTGAGAGTTGCGAGGAAGAAAGTGAATCAGAAATTGAAGTCGATGAAGAACCATCATCTTCGTCGGCAACCTGGGGACCACCACACCAGCATGGCAAGAGGAGTGTGAATAATTATTCAGGTGGAGCTGTGGGCAAACTGTGGCAAACAGTTATAGCATCTGTCGTCGAACCTGGAAATGGACAAATAAACTATTTTTCCATCTCCTGGCTCTGAAGAGTTATATCCTGTTGTCACACAGAGAATTTCGTCTCGCTCTTGTGCAGAACATGCTGGAAGGGGTCCACTTCGCCCTCAACGGCCCAGGGGTCAAACCCCTGCCATTTCATCGGGGTCATTTCGAATAGAGAAGGCCAAACAACAGCACTGGCCGACTTTCTCTACTTCGAAATTGAGGTGTCGAGTTTGCTCTTCACGTGGGAAATGAAGAACCGTCCGGATAAAGTATGTGAAGGGTGATGTGGGACTCTGCATTTCCGGATGTTTCCAAGATTTCCACACAAAGCCAACATTCCGTTAGACGACGCAGGTGGGAAGAGAGACAACTTATAAAGCTGGTGACCAAAAATCATGTAAGTAGAAAAAGAATTTATAACTTAAAATTAGATTTTAAAAATCCGGCCGCACGCGTGGACTGCGCAACGACATATGGCGTCATTCGTCCCCTTGACTTTGTTTTCATGACGCCATATGGCATCGCTCGGCTCTTAAAGGTTAACAGTGTCTCCTGTCATATGAAAAGTGCCTCTGATGATGGTTTTAATTAAACCGAAACATGTAAGGCAAGAATAATAAAAGTGATGTGACCTCTATTGCCGCACTGGATGGAAAATTCTATTAACTTTATAACTTAACAGTGCAGCAGACCAGAATGAGACAATTCAAAACAATTCAAAATAAACGAAGTATCCTTTTTTGTATTGTCAGTGCTTTGCTAGTTTTGCTTTCACCACCCCAAAAAATCAAACCATAACTTACTAAGGGCTGAAGCGGCCTCCGTAGTCTAGAGGTAACATCCCCACCTCATGACTCGTAGTATGCGGGTTCAAATACCCGGCGGAGGTCGTCGAATTTTTAAGGGCGGAAAAATTTAGGGAACAAGTCCTCCAGGAGGGACTTTAAGCCGTGGGTCCCATGTCATAGCTTTACGGCACGTAAAAGAACCTTATATCTCCAAAGGAGGTCACTGAGCCAAATTATGGACATTTCCCGCCCAACAGCAGTCTCTAATACCTCTGGTAGATGGGGGAAGCATTATAGATACCTCTCAGCTAGTAGAGCCGGTCTCGCTGGCTGGGCAGGACTGATGATGAAAAGGACCAGTACCGGCAGGATATAGAGACTGGTAGAAATCATAGAGGGAAGCACAATGGACCAATGCAGGTCTAAGTGCATGGGGAAACCCACCCTCTCCAATAACTAACTAACTACTAAGGGCTGAAATCTGGCAAAGTATATATTCATGAGTATATATAAACTCATGATATCTTTAAAAGAATTTAATAATGTAACATTCCTTATTCAGTTTTGACACGAGGACTGAATATGTGAGCTCCATTTTAGATTATGTGTTATATTGATACCTAAAAATCTGAACTGTGTTGTATAATTAATTTTTATATTTTTATATATAACTGGAGCACACATGTCATAGTTCATTTAATTGGAATACCATTGCTTTGGCCTTATCAGTATTTATAACCAGGTTATTTTTTTTAAACCAAGATTCTAGCTGGATCATCACTCTTTTTTTATTTCTTTTTTGGAGAGTAATTCTATTCTTATCTATTACCAGTATATTCATACCATCTGCAAAAAGAACTGCTTCTTCATTTGATATATGATGGGGTAGATCATTATATAAATAATAAAAAGAGGAGCAGGCCCAAAGCAGACCCCTTAGGTATTCCAAGTTTTAAATTCCTCAGTGTAGAATTGCACCTATACAGAGAATACTTACTGTCATTAGAGGGTATTTCTACGTATTGAGAAGGCAGTGTGAGACAGGATTTTAACTGAACATTAATTTTTCCTCTTATTCCATAAACATGTAATTTTTCAATAAGTATATATCATGATCAATATCGTACACTTTTGTGAGATCAAAAAATTACCAGCTGCAAATGACCGCCTGTCCAGTGCTTCCTGTACATTCCCAATAAAAGACTGAAATGCAGATATGATGGACTTGTGGGGCTCTTGTCATTACTCCTATGACAACCCACTTCTTCGGAACAATTTGTTGGCCCTGAAAAGGACCGTGGTTGCTGAGATGATTGACCGGTGAGGTAGCGCGGCGCGCGCCGGTAAGGGGAAAGGCTAGTTACGGTGAATGGCTGGTGAAAAGGCTAGTGGAAAGGCTAGTCGAGCGCGGTCGCAGGAGCCATGAGGCAGTGGCTACGCCAGAAGCCCAGTGGGTCGGACCGTAACACGACCACCGGCGAGTCCAGGCGCTGTGCCCCAGTGAGTCGGGTGTGAGAGCGCTGGAGGGCCGAGGCAGCCGTGCCCGGCGCAGCCTGCCGATGCCTCCGAAGACCGAGCGCTGGCGACGAAGCCTGCTGGCTGAAGTTGCTTGCTGTCTGATGAACTGAATTAAACTGGATAACTCTGCTCTTTTATACACTGGTCGGTGGGGCGGAGCCAAACTCGAAAGTGAGGAGCAAGAATTGATTGGCTAGCGCGCGTAATGGTGTAGACGCGGACTATCGCCGAGCGTAGTATAAATGCGATCGTTTGAAGCAATCTGATTGGTTAGCGCGCGTGATGGTGAAAAGTGATGTGAAGAGCGAGCGTTGCAGAAATGCGTGATAATGTGGGATGTTCCCACAGACTTATTTTTCAGGAACCCATATTGATTTTCTGTTAAAATGTTAAATTTAATAATAAAAGATACCAATCTGTTATAAACTATTTTTTCAAACATTTTTTAGAATATAGATATAACAGATATAGGTCTGTAATTACTAATTTCATGTCTAGTACCCTTTTTATAAACAGGCCTAATTTTTGCAAATTTCAATAAATCTGGAAATACATCCTGATTTATGGATTCATTAAATATAAAATAAGTGTTTTTTATACATGTGATATATGCTTTTACTAGAAAATCAGGGATTTCATCAAATCCTGCAGAAGCATTGCCTTTTAATTTGGATACCACTGTAATTATTTCTTCTTCAGAAATCAGAAAAAATACATACAGTTTGGATTGCAGTCCACTACTTTCTGTAATGATCTACCATGATCTTTACTCCTATTCTGCTCCACTAGTTCTTCTACCTTATCAATAAAATAAGAATTTAATGTGTCTGCCACCTTCTGAGGGTGAGCTTTTTTTTTTTAATTATTTTGTAACAAAATATCCTGATGGCCAGTCACGGTAGCCGAGCGGTCTAAAGCATGCACTGTCTTCACTCGCTCGGAAGCCGGGATCATGGGTTCAAATCTCACTCAGGGCATGGATGTTTGGTGTGCGTTTTTCTGTGTTTGTGTACAGGTAGAAGCCTTGAGACGAGCTGATCACCCACCCAAGGAGCCCTACCAAATGTCTAAGATCTAGTAAACTGAAGTGAAATGGAGAGTTTCATGGAGGTAGGCCTAGGCCCAAATTGGAGCTGTAGCACCAAAGAAAAAAAAAAAAATATTCTGATATGATTTCCCTGAATTTACCACTTTTCTATTAATTAATTGCCACATAATTTTAGTTGGGTTTGAAGCACTTTATTTAGTTTCTGAGATAACTCGTTTATAAATTCTGTGATATCTGTTAGTATAAATCAGTGCATCCCTTGACAGTGACATCCTACACTTTAGATTATTTAAAAATATCACAATGCTATCAAATGGAACCACATCAAAACTGAACCCCCCCTCCCCCAAAACCTATCCAACACTTCCAACATTTTTCAGTAACTTTCCCATGAAACCTGTTTGCCATTCAGTAGTGCTGTATTTATCTGCTTTTTTAAATACTGTCAAAAAGTAATCCGGGAGCTGGAAAGGGTTAAACACATGTGTGTGCATGACTTGAACACATGCATGACTATGATTTAAACATATGTAGAAGTGTGACTTAAATAAATGAGTATGACTGGAACACATGTCTGAGAATGATTTAAAGTCAGAAATGAAGTTGTTTTAGAATCTGAATGGAGAGCAAGTTCTCAGCTTCATGACCACAACGGAATGTGTGAGACTTGGCTGCACTGATAATAACACAATGTCTGAACTGAATATCAACCTGCTTAAAGCAAATCTGGCCAATGAAATGTCTGGCAGAATAAACGAGTCTGAGAGTGCTCTATCAGACAAACAATACAGTCATGAGATGGCAAGAATTTACAGAATCCTATATCCTTGTGGACAGCTTTCTTCAAAGATGATGGTTGTCAACAGTAAATTTGGAAATGGATTTGCAGGTTGTTGCTCCTCAGATAAGCCTGTATGTCAAGAAGCAGTACCAGCTTTACATCCACATTCTTCTAGCTGCCACATCGAAAATGGAACATCCAATAATGCCTCTCGTCTTAATTGTGACATCAATACTTAGATGGAAACATAAATTAAACGCTTATTCAACAATTATCCATCATACAGTCATCATGTGGCTTGCGGTCCACACAGGTTTTTGACTCTGATAATGTGGCTGGTACTCATGTAAACGGCCACTACCTTCAAACATAAAGACCTAACCCTTTCTAATCACTGTAAATCTTAAAGAAAAAGCTTGCACAAACTCCAATGAGTAAAAAAATTAAAGGTATCCCTGTAACAGTCCATGAAGGCCCATATGGATGTGAGATGTTGAGGCTCCCACATTTCTAGACAATCGGCTAACAGATGGCGGTGAAGCTGTCAGCCTTACGCACCATCCACCCTTTACCTCCAGGAATAATCCTGGTACTCATTTCTCGACCCCAGGGCCAAAGTGCAGCTGGAAGGATTTGGTCAACTGAAAAAAATCCACCTCATCAGGATTCGATCCCGCAACCTTCCAGCTTGTAGCATAATGCCTCAACCAACTATGCTACCGCAAGTCAGAAGCTTAATTTAGAAACATCTAGGCTTGAATCCATACCATTTGAAGAGAGTTTTAAACATTCTCAACACTAAAGAAATAAAGAAAGAATGAAAGATCTAGGAAACACCTAAAAAAACCAGGATTCCTTCTAAGATTCTAAGTGTACTGTCATCATATCATTAATATCAGCCAGTATCTGACTACATAGCTTTACCTTGAGATGATGCAGAGTAGTGTACAATTTTCCACAACCTTCATGAGGGCACATGAAGCTTTTCGCACGATCCCGCACAAAAAGTTCACCCTCCTCATCTTCTACTCCACCATTAACATGGCCAGACACTTTAAGGCTCTCGCCTCCCAATGCAGCCAATCCCTCTAGACTCAAAGCATTCAGCACTGATCCACTTAACGCAATGTATGCTGTGGAACCGTCTTCGAGCTCTACTGGCTGGCAGCTGTCTGCAACAACCACATACTCTACCTGTCACTGCTTATGATATCTCTCTTCATATAAACTTACAATCTGCTGCTTAAGCTAGCACCTGCAAGAAACTGTGCCTTAATAAATGAGATTTATTGGTGAAATCTTGGACGACCAGCATGGACCTCAAGAGATCATATACCATACAAACTGACAGATCACTGAATATCAGACACAAAGAGCTCATTAGGAGTATCGCCTTTGGAATACACATCAATATGGTAGAATGGAAGATAACAATGGACAAAACTGACCACATCAATAAAGCACAAATAGGAACATAAAAGAAAACATTTACATACTCAAACACAAACAAGAAGTTCTGGGAAGAATTAATCACCTACTTTCCTTGGATATGACACATAGTGCAAAGAAAAGAACACATCCAACAATTCTTCCACTGTTGCATGTGTATCTGTTGCCATGGGAATGTGTTTGCCTAGCTGTCTTACAGCATAAAAACAAGAAAAACGTCACCAACCTTTGTTACATGAAGATGATTTCAATATGGATGCTGCATGGCAGTCCTTCGCAATGTCACTCAGCATGTGATGGGGACTGGGCAAACAATGAAAAGGCTAGCAAGAAAGGCAACTCTGCAAAACACTAATGAAGGGACCATGCTATTAAGACATTACATATCAGCTGCTGTGAACCTTCCCTCAGTCACCTCTGAGTAATGAAGACTGCAGCAAAGAAACAAAGATGTTTTGAATAGAGATTCACAAAAGCTTGAATATTTTCAGGCACTCAAAAAACAGTGTCATTCCTGCCTCATAAAACCATGTTCAGACGAAAGCACTTTCAACACCACACACACACTGTACTTACATTAGAGGATTTGTAATCTGTAAGTATAACAGCAAAGGTTGGCTTGCATGTGTGATACAAGTGAAAGACAGTTAATTTTACACAACACTTTGAATCCCCCTGGCCCCAGTAAATCCTTCAACACCAAACACTGTGTGCACTTTCAAAAGGGCTCACAAGAGTGGATCCAAAAGTGCAACAAGTCACACATATATTACCAGTGACAATGAATCTTACTACACAACAGGAAACAAGGAGCCAGGCTTTGCAGACAGTAAACAGCCACTCTTACATGCAATATTTCTTAGTTAAATGAAAAATAAAGTTTAATAGTTTTATGATTCAGACTGCAAGGCTTCCTTTCTGCCATTCTTATTAATGCTACATTACCTCTGTAGCTAACTGCATTTTTGACCCTTCAGTTCTGGGCTAGGTGCACCGCACACTAGCAGTTTCTGTCACATGCCACCAGGCTCTGTACCCTGCACGCATATTGCAGCTCTAAGTTTCAGCTCTATTTTAACCACTGTTTTTCATGTAAAGTAATTCTTTTGGTATGAAATTAAAGAGGAAATTTCAGGCTATCATTCCGTATATTCATTGTCCCACTTTGAACTTCCTGCGGGAATTGTAACATATTTGAATTCTTTGAAAAAGTTTTTAATTTCAACACTTGGTATGCCTGTTACCACACAAAACTACCTCTGCCTAGGGGAATTCTTATGAACTAAATATGTCAGATCGATACTGTGTACTATCCTCTATCCTGATCAAATGAAATGTCAATTCTCTTGAGGCATATTCTGAACTCTGCTGCTTCCACACTGGTATTTGTAACTACGAGAAGACACATGGAGAAACTATGACTTTGAGACGCAATTTTGACTCTAAGAAGTGTGTTATGACTACCACTGTAGCAAATGGTAAACAGTTCAGTATATGAATGGTACTACTGTAATTCCCCTTTGTTCTATAAATACCATCATGCAGTCTGGTGAGCCAAGGCCAGCCGCAAGGAATGAAGTGGCCAGCTGTGTTGTGTCATGACCAGTGGAGAATATATTTACTTCAAACCGAATCAGAATAAAGTTTTATCAGATTCAGAATTAGACATTGAAAATGGATGTTTGTGCTTTTCTTGATTCTTGGCAAATGACAGAATCGAGAATAGCACAAACATCCGTTGGGAGAATATGCAAAACTATAAGAGACAAAAAGAAAATTTCTGAATGGGATGATAATACAAGGTGGTTCAAATATGACTGGGACTGATTTGTGTGTAAACAAGCTGCACTGCACAGCAGCTGTGTGGCCTTGAGATAGTGAAGCCACAACCTCCACCCTCCCTCCTGTAAGGGTTAGAACCTGTTCAGTGCTCTCTGGGGAGTTGCTAGAGGGATGAGCGTACAGAATGTACCACAGAGCGTGGAACAACGCATTGTGATCAAATTTCTCGTTGGAGAAAACGTTCTGTCCGCTGAAATTCACCAGACTCCAACAACAGTATGGGGAAGAGTGTCCCTCATGGACCGGTGTGTTTGAGTGGTGTAAGTGCTTCAGAGAGGGCAGAGAGCGCGTGGAGAATGAATGACATGATCGTCACCTGCGAACATTCGTCACTGAGCCAAACATTGATTGTGCAGACACGCTTATTCGTGAGAATAGGTGCATCACTATCAAGGAACTTGGAGTAATGCTGTCCATCAGTGTTGGTATTGTAGAAGACATGAAATACCATCTGCACTATCGCAAAGTGAATGCACAGTGGGTACCACGCACTTTGACGGACATGAACAATATGGTGTGCATGCAAGCTGCCAGTTGTCTCCTACAGCAGTTTCAAGATGAAGGTGATACATTTTTTAAGTCTGTAGTGACCACCGATGAAACGTGGGTGCACTACTTCATTCCCGAGTGCCAGCAGTCATCATGCGAGTGGCGGCATACCAGTTCTCCCAAACCCAAGAGAGCGCGGAGGAGCTGTTCGGCAGGAAAGGTGATGGCAACGTTCTTCTGGGCCTAGCAGGGGGTTATCCATGTAGACTTTCTGACAGATGCCAGAACAGTCAACACAGCTTATTACTCAGACCTCCTGGCAACAGACGTGAAGGAAAAGATCTGATCCAAGCAGAAGAGAGGTGGAAAGTGGGTAGCCTTCCTTCAAGACAATGCCCCATACGGCCAAAACAACAACGGAACATTCTGACACATCTGCCATAGAGTCCCAATTTGGCCCCAAGTGATTTCTACCTGTTCAGAAGGCTCAAATCAGACTTGCAAGGCATGCAGTTTGTGGACAAAAACACCGTCATCCAGACTATTTGGGAGTGGATACCACAAGCCTTTTTTCAAAAGGGCATCACGATGCTACCAGAACGTTGGAAAAAATGTGTTGACTCGGGAGGGGAGTATGTTGAAGACTGACATGTGCAAGTAAGTGTTTGGCAATTATGGGTTTAAAAAAAAAATCAGTCCCGGTCATATTTGAACCACCTTGTATGTAGGAATAACACAAGGAAAAGGATAAATCAGTTGTCAATCAGAATTCAGTTAATTGAGGGACTCTCTGTGAAATATGCTAATGCTGTAGAACACAAAGTGCCGGGTCGACATTCATCTGACAAAACAGTGCCCTGTCTAAGAGGAAGAAATTTTATAAGCAAGATTCTACCAACTGCAAAGAAATTAAAACCACAGAAATGGCGTGCTGTGTGTCAAACACCGTTTAGTGGTGGCACACGTGTGACGTGGGACTCTGTGTGGAATGTTTTCACGACTAACACACCCAGCTGAACTTCTAAGGTATTATGATACTATCATTCACAATTTTATATGCTTAGTGTGCCAAAAATAATTTTAAAGCAGTGTGGATCAATACACCGATTCTATATACATTTCTGATCGTAGTGTGAAAATTAGAAAAACAGAACTCCAGTTTATCCAATTTATTACACTTTAAGTGAAATGTTGCACCTTCTGATTTAAATATTTAAATATCCTCCAGCATAGAAGTTGAGTATGAATTTAAATGCCCGCTGGTGGTGAAGGGTTAATCCCATTAACCAATAACATGTATGTAACATGTAATTATAATCAAATACGGATCTGAAAGTTTTATCTTTTATGATATGACACAGTGTAGTCCACCAAGAGTCAAGTGACAAGCTCTCCTTCTTACCTACATTTCTTGCTTGGCTTAGCCTGTGACCCAAGGCAACATGTTCATTTGACACACCAGCTGACTTTCAATGAACTACATGGAGTTATAACCCAGGAGACAGAAATCTTCATAACCACCACCGTGACAACCTCATATTCTACAAACGTATCTTATCAACAAATTCATGTCTGCACATGAAATTTTTCCAAAACGTAATTAAAGAGTAACAAAATCACAAATAGCACTAGGGTGCTGATGATATTGATCACAGAGTGTATCACTGACTGCATTAGCTCACAGAACAGCGCTAAATTTTATAGATTAGCATCTGTATCACAGAAGTGTATTTATTAACGAAGAATGAACAATGATCAATTCTGTATGATGCAACAGTTATTTGATCATCACATGCTCATTGGATTGTACCAAGTTGTCTTAGCATTATATCCCTCCCTTCTGTTGCTCCATGTTAGTCTGAGCACTGAAGGGAAGCAAGCAAGGAAGTATGATATGTAGGAAAGTTTGGAAAGCAAGATCTTCTGGACTCCAGTTAAAGTGGAATTTTGTCAATGTTTTCATATGTGGCAGTCACTGTCACATTTGTGCCAGACCTTTAAGTGGAACTCTACATACAAATGCTGTTAGATAAGATGTTACACATTTGTATATCTGAACAATTGAGTCAAGACTTGTATTACTGAAATACAAAATAGATCATGGATTATAATTCAACATTATACACAAACAAAACTTCACTAATTCATACCCTGTTAGTCTGGAAACCTCATAAGCTGGTGAATCTGAGCTTGGATGCTGCAGCAAAGCTAGCCGACAGTTAATTGCTTCTTTAGGCCTCTTCCTCTTTCATGATCTTTGCCTGCTGAAGGAATTTTAGTAGCACATTCTGTTTATTAAAATTCTTTTATTACCACTTCACTAATCCAGGCCACCCATCCCCCATATAGTCTGGATTAGTAACGTTTTACTGGAAAGAAATTTATATTTTGTGATATTCAGTAAGGTTAGAAAATTCTGAGGTCATAAATGGCAAAATTATTTCATTTTATATTACCTCCAGCTTTAATGTTGGGATGCACGATGGCAGTGCTGCCATCTTCCAGCTGAATTGTATGTCCATCCAGGAACTTTGGAATCTCCTGGATCAGCAAGGTGCTCCCATCTTCCAACTGCAGTGCCTCTGCTGTCTCCAACCCATCTGGATACACAACATTTTCACACAAGATATACTACTCACAAAAGAAACAAATATTAATGTGACTTAATCAAGAACCATGACTAAATGGTTCAAATGTAAACCAGCATCCCTCTACTTTGCAATATCAATAAAAATTAATGTTACATAACAATACATTTGTTAACTGTGAACTTTAACCATCCTTAGTCCTTCTGACAGTTCAGATGCTCAGTTCTCACTCCTACATTAACAGGACACCTTCGTGAAATCAGTTCTCATTTGTCAATGAAAGTCTGAACTCCATGCTCTTGGTTGTCTCCTCGCGAGATGAAGTCTGTTCCAATGGAAAGCATCCAGTTACACAGTATTTTCTAAAGGACAAGTATTGCAGTAAAAAGCATAAATATAATTTCTGCAAGAACACTTTAAACTTTCTCCAAATGCAACACAGTCCTCTGTGCCTCCCATTATATCCAGTTATGTGACTCAAGGTCTTAGGCTTGGCAAATATTCTATCTGCATGAACAAAACAAAGGTTTTCACAGTGAAATTTAGAGCCTCTAAATTACATGAGATATATACCTTGCATATAGGGAAGCTAGTTCAGTAATCTAGGAACTGGAATCTTCAGTCAGTTCATGACGGAGAACTTCAACCAAAGACAAAATTTGTTTTTCATGAGACTTATATTTGCACGGACACATGAACGCACAAATTACAAGGTGGTTGAAATATGACCGGGATTGATTATTTTTTTAAACTAAAATTGCCAAACAGTTACTTGCACATGTCAGTCTTCAACGTACTCCCCTCCGGAGTCAACACATTTTTTCCAAAATTCTGGAAGCATCCTGATGCCCCTTTCAAAAAAGTCTTGTGGTTCGCGGCGTATCCACTCCAGAACATTCTGGATGATGGTGTCGTCCACAAACTGCATGCCTTGCAAGTCTGATTTGAGCCTTCCGAACAGGTAGAAATCACTTGGTGCCAAATCGGGACTGTATGGTGGTTGTGTCAGAAGGTTCCATTTCAATTTCCAGGGGGTTTCCATTGTTGTTTTGGCCATATGGGGGCATGCATTGTCTTGAAGGAAGGCTACCCACTTTCCACCTCTCTTCCGCTTGGATCAGATCTTTTCCTTCACGTCTGTTGCCAGGAGGTCTGAGTAATAAGCTGTGTTGACTGTTCTGGCATCTGTCAGAAAGTCTACATGGATAACCCCCTGCTAGGCCCAGAAGAACGTTGCCATCACCTTTCCTGCCGAACAGCTCCTCCGCGCTCTCTTGGGTTTGGGAGAACTGGTATGCCGCCACTCGCATGATGACTGCTGGCACTCGGGAATGAAGTAGTGCACCCACGTTTCATCGGTGGTCACTACAGACTTAAAAAATGTATCACCTTCATCTTGAAACTGCTGTAGGAGACAACTGGCAGCTTGCATGCACACCATATTGTTCATGTCCGTCAAAGTGCGTGGTACCCACTGTGCATTCACTTTGCGATAGTGCAGATGGTATTTCATGTCTTCTACAATACCAACACTGATGGACAGCATTACTCCAAGTTCCTTGATAGTGATGCACCTATTCTCACGAATAAGCGTGTCTGCACAATCAATGTTTGGCTCAGTGACGAATGTTCGCAGGTGACGATCATGTCATTCATTCTCCACGCGCTCTCTGCCCTCTCTGAAGCACTTACACCACTCAAACACACCGGTCCATGAGGGACACTCTTCCCCATACTGTTGTTGGAGTCTGTGGTGAATTTCAGCGGACAGGACGTTTTCTCCAACAAGGAATTTGATCACAATGCGTTGTTCCACGCTCCGTGATACCTTCTGTACGCTCATCCCTCTAGCAACTCCCACAGAGCACTGAACAGGTTCTAACCCTAACAGGAGGGAGAGTGGAGGTTGTGGCTACAATCTCTCAAGGTTGCACAGCTGCTGCGCGGTGCAGCTTGTTTACAAAAAAATCAGTCCCGGTCATATTTGAACCACCTAGTAAATGACAGTTACACAAAATTACACAAAATCTGCATCTTACACATCAAGTTCCAGTCTATGATCCACAAGTTGGTGTTCGGTGTGCCCTGAGCATGGGAAGTGGCCCTGTGTTCTGTGCAGATACATTTAATTCAGAGAAGTATTCACGTGGGCCAGTAAGCTTCACTCTGACAGATGCTGCAGTGGGAAAGGTGGCAATTGACACAGTGAGCACACATAACAGAAACATCATGCCCCACCACAACCTCCCTGACCATGTACCATAGCAGATTTTAAAGGGTTCTAACAAATGCGTAAAACACTCAGAATTACTGGGTTTTTGGACATTTCACCCTTAGTGTTCAGTTTTTATTCCACTGATAGTGCTAGCAGTAGGCTCAAAATGCTTTCAATGATTCTCCATCTAATCCTATGCACCGGTTTTCATGGACTCAGTCTGCTGACTAGGTATGTTGAATAATATGTTCACCTCCCTTTCTATCTTAGTTTCAGGTCTGTGCATGCTCTATCAAAATTTTTACTGCACATTTTCCTCTTACCTCCCTTCAACAAAGCCTAATCTCAGGTATTTATACAGAGCTGTAGTTATAATGACAGGGGCTGTACAATGATTAAAGTTAGCTCTTTCTAAGGAACTCAACACAGATGTTCCCCCTGTCACTCGAGCACACAAACAGATCCAGTTTCCAAAACGTTGTGATCTACAGATTTTAGAATACTGGAAGACGGACAAAGTCCACAAACCCAGTAATTCTGAATGTACTGCAGTAGATTGAATTGTTTCTTCCATCATCTTTGTTATACAAAGATACACATGACTAAGGAGGGACCTGTGTAGATCACAAGTGAAACCCATTAATAAAACAATGAGCTGTTGGTACCTTTCATATATTTAGAAACCTCAAACAAAACAAACATCCAATACCTGTGTCCAGCTTGAGGTCCTGTGCCACAAAGGCCTGGGTGCCATCAGCCAAGGTAACAGCTGTCAGCATGGCAGTGCTGTCAAAAGTCAAGCCGTTGTCTGTGGCACTCACAATGAGGCTCTCGCCATCTTGTAGTTGTTCCCCTTCCTTTGCTGCTGACACGAGCATAGTGAGGGACTCCGTCAAACAGTCCAGTGGTTCCAGTTGCTCAGTACTCTTAGAGGCAACTTAAATAAACACAACGATGTCAAGTGAAAGTGTGCGCAGCAAGTCTCCATCACACTTACCTTACATCTCATGCTTCGGGCAGTATACGTTGCAACATGAGACCCTCAGACATCTTTACATACCATCCATGTGGTGTGACAGTTCTTTGGGTAATATTATGGATGTGCAAACAAAAACACATTGCAAAACAATACACAGAAGCTCTGTTATACCCTAGTAAGAATATTGGTCTGGAAATAAACATATGCTCACATCACATAGCAGACTGTAGGATAATACCATGACATAAAGATAGGGAAGAAAGCCTTAAAAATGTGGCAAATTCAAACTTTTTGGGACAACAGCAGCAAATATGAATTTCATTCATGAAAAAACACAGAGAAGATTAAATCTGTGGAATGCTTGTTAGCATTCAGTCCAAAATCTTTTACCTTCCTGTCTCCTCTATATAAAAAAGTTTAAGAGTACAAAACTGCAATTTTACTGTTATTTTGTATGACTGTGAAACTTCACCTGTGTCAGAAATATTATATCTTAAGAGTCACATTGCATGTGTGAAATTTATTTTATTCCATCATCACAATAGGTAGTATGGACACACCATACATGTGTCAGCGCATGAAGCCATCATCACATATTTAGCTCATTATAAGTAACAATGAGTGTATGATGTGTTCATACTACCTATTACAGTGACAGAATAAAATAAAGAAATTTCATCTCTCAACCTAAGAAAAACATTTTCAAGATGTTTAAGAGGAGAAAGAATACTTAAGAGACAGGAAATACCAGAAGCATGAAGATGTTCACATGATGACCGACCGACCACACTGACCTAAGTCCTTCCTGAGAAGCCCTACCACACAAGAAATTTCCAGCACTTTATGGAACCTGAAAGTTCATTACTGTGGTCACAACAGGCTGCCATTGGTCTCCATCCAGAGATAGACAAATCCAGCCCATGTGCCCCTCCTATTTCCATAAGGTTCATTTTAAAGTTCTCATACCAAAATCCTGTATGACCGCCCCCCCCTTTTTTTTCACTCCTCTACATGCTACATGCCTTGCCCATCCCATACTCCTTAACTTAATCTAATTACCTATTTAGACTGCACTCTCTGAACTCATTTCATATAACAATTTTGAGTACTCAACACAGAACATCACTAGCTTTATCTGAAACATTCTGTTTATCACATTATAAAGCATACAGTAATAACAGAAACGCTAAGGTTAATCTACTTTGCCCATGTTCATTCCAGTATTAGTGACAATAATCTTCTGTGGCAGTGCTAGCTTAGCGCAAAATGTATTCGTAATGCAAAAGAGAATTATCAGAGTCATAATGAATATGAGGCCAAGAGACTCCTGTAGGGAGACTTTTAAGAAGATGAAACTAATGACATTGTATTCCCAATATATACATATGCACTACTTTTATTTGTGGTTAATAATAAAAACTTATTTGAGAACAAGAGTGAATTACATGATCATAAAACTAGGTCATGTAAGAACGTGCACCTACCTGCGGTGAATCTGGCCAAATTTGACAAAGCTATAAGAATTTTTAATCATTTACCTCATCCAATAAAAAGATTGGTGAATGATGAGAAGGGTTTTAAATCCACTTTAAATGGATTTCTGTGCCACCATTCTTTTACTCCATGAATGAGGTTTATCAATATACTGAGAGTTAGAATATACTATTCCCTGCTACTAAGTACTGTATGTATGTTTTATTATCTAGGATTTGTATATTGACTCACCCGATATTCTGGGTATGAAGTTTTAAAATTTTGTTGTAAATATGAATGAATGATTTTGACAAGGCAGCTCAACTTTTAACAATGCTTACTTTTTAATTTTTAAATTATGTAAAACAACAGATATTATTAAACATTTCAAATTTCAAGTATTGTACTTTAATCTATTAAATGTGTCCTTAGATATTATGGCTTCAATAGAAATAAGCTAAAATTCTAACAGGCTGCTACCATGGAAATTGTAACAATAACAAAACAACTATTTGAAGATGTGCAGTACACAATTGAATCTAATTTTATTATTTATCTGGTCTGATAGTGTGTGTTATATTTTAATTATAGGTTAACCACATAAAGCGTGATATTTACTGTTGACAAATTCTAATCCTTTAAGCACTGGGCAAAAGGATTTCAAAAATGATGTATTAAATGATGTGGCTTGTTCAAGTGTTTCTGTTGTAGCAATTGTGAATGTCAAATGAAATGAATGAATGAATGATTGATTGATTGATTTATTTAACATCCATAACTGTTACATTATGTACAATTGGACAAGTCAGTTTTATAAAAAAATATATGAGATTAAACATCACATCAAATGACTAATAATATAAAAAACCATAGAAAAATAACATAATAAATCCTTTAAATATGACAAAACAGTGGATGAGTATAATAAGGCAACAAAAGCTAAACTATAAATTACATGCAATATCTAAAATAAATTACCTAAGTATCTTTGTTCTATTATTAAGCTAATTCTTGTAAAAATATTCATTAGAATATGAATTAGAACTTCATTTATTGGATAACACAGTCTGCATCTTACCAACATCAGAGCTATCAGAATCATGAAGCAGAGCACTGTTCTCCTCCACACTGGGAAGTGCTGCCATCACTTGGCCCACGACTCAGTTGAAAGCTTCATATTTTAACTGCCAAAACAAAACAACATTGGAATTTAGTTACACCTCAACAGAGGTAAATAATCAAAACACTACTATTCAACTTTTTACTTGGGCACTTAAAAATTATAGCTGATGACTCAAAAGTTATCACATTTTTTTTTATTGGTCACTCCAGCACTGTCAGTGCTATGACTGTATAGCATCATATGATAGACTGAACAGTGAATTATGAAGTGCAGAGAATTTGGAACTAGTCATAGCCTAATCAGGCTACAATCCCAGCATTTTCTGGAGGGACTGAGGAAAACCACAAGAAACCTTACTTAGAACAGCCACTGCCCTAATTGATATTTTAACACAGTGCCCCCTGAATAAAAGTCTGGAGTTACTACTACACCACCCTCTTCAGTCACCATACACTGTATAGGTTTGCTATTCATATATAGCAACATAATTTTCTTTTCCTACAACAGACTGAGCGCAGAACACCAAAAGACATGAGACTTACACCATACTCTAGCCAACATTGGTCCTGACTTGTAATCAGAATGTACCTGACTCACATCTCACCCCCACATATTAACTATTCTGACTGAGGACGTGTGCGTTTCTTGAGTCCTTACATGCAAATGCCATGACAGCACCTTGAAAAATGGGAAACTGCTTCCTCCTACACCCATTCCAATTCATCATTCATTAATCAATACACCATTCTACATCATGTAATCTGAGCTCATTAGATTTTTTCAATTTACCTAATCCTTCTGGCCACACCAGGCCCTGGGGTTTACTCAGCCTCTAACAGAAATGAGTACCAGGAATTAATTAAATAATTTTCCTGGGGAGTGAAGCGCGGCCGGCGTGTAAGGCTGACAACCTTACCGCCATCTTTAAGCCGACTGTCAAGGTAATGTGGGACCCTTAACGTCTCACAACCCTATGGGCCTTCACAGCCTGTTACAGGGATAGCTTTACTTTTACTTTTACCCATGGTTATTAAGTGATACACAGGTATTGCAGGAGATATTTTTCAACGTGATTTCAATCTAATTCCTTTTTTAATTACATGGGTAAACTTTATCAATTTGAATATTGTTCCTTCTTTCAAATTTTAGCTATTACATAGGTCAAATAAAGGTGGCAACATAGCTCAAGCGGTTAGTTGCTGGCTTCCCACCGCAGCGACCCAGGTTCAATCCTGGGTCTGGTCAAGTGGGATTTGTGGTGGACAAAGTGGCACTGGGGCAGATTTTTGCTGAGTACTTTGGTTTCTCCTGCCAATCTTCATTCCACCAATTGCTCCACAATCACCCTCGCCTATCATCTGGGGCTGGTACAATAGACCAGAAGTGGCCGCAGTACAAAGGACTTAGTCCCACCCCACTAGCAATAATAAAAAACAAATGGCAGATGTTGCAGTATCTCCCATCACCAGCGGCGAAGGAGATCCTTGACAGCGTCAGCAGTATGAGCCCTTGCATTGTCACTAAGGGTCCTTGCTTTCTCCTGAGTGCTGGACGAAGATGATTATGCAAGAAACTGCAGTAGTAGGCAGCATTTACTGTCTGTCATTGAGGTACAGTGTGGTGCAGTATCACTCCATCAATGTCATATGCCATAATGAACATCATCTTCACATCGCTCTGTGTAGGGAGAATCTTCTTTGGACGAGGAGAGCCAGGATGCTTCCACTCATTTGATCGTCGCTTCAAGTGCAGTTCGTATGAGCGAGCCCAAGTTTCGTCCAGTGTGACAATCCTTCCAAGGAAGTTGTCACCTTCCCTCTGGTACCGGTCAAACACGTCCTGTGCAATTGCATAACGTTACCATTGCTGCACCTCGGACATTGTACGGGATACCCAACGCGCTGCAATTTTGCAGTATCCAAGAATATCGTGCAGAATGTGGAGCATGGTTTTGTGACATATGCCTACCTCAGCAGCTAACTCACACGCAGCCCATTGACAATCGATATCCAGCAAAGAAGCAAGATGCTGAATTGTGTGGTTGTCAACAAGGGGTCGTCCTAAACGACAGCTGTCCTGAATGGCATCCCTCCCTTCACAGAACAATTTCACCCATTGTGCCACTGTGCGATATTGCAAAGCAGCATCACCATATGCTTCTTGCAGTCCCTGGTAACAGTTTTGTGCACTACGACCTCATCCAACTTCAATTTTTATCTAGGAGTGTTGTTGTTGTTTCATAAACATGTTGTTAGGGTGCTCGAACTGGGCTCCTGCACTTCAAGACGATGCACAATGCAACTCAATGAAACACAAACCAGAGCCACTCACAGCACTATGTCAACTGAACTTCTGCTATCAGCTACAGATGGCTCTAGTACCACCTGACGCACATCTTTCATGTTACAGCAGTGTTGCACTACTTTTTATCCAATCCTTGTACATATATACTGTGATATCAACAAAGATGGAAACCATATCCTAGAGAAAGAATGGATATCTATTCCAGTGTCAAATTTATATTTAAGTTCTCATGCAATTCTGGCACATGAGGACTCAACATACATATATCTGGAGGAAAACCATGAATCAATACATTATGTAAGATCTCTTACTTATGAGTACTTACCCATGGAGCTGAGCCCTCTGGAGGAGCCACCAATTCTGCAGCTACTCAAGAATTTCTCAGCATTTTATGGAACCTGAAGGTTCATTACTGTGTTCACAAGAGCACTCCACTGGTCCCTATCCTGAGCCAGATCTATCCAATCCATACCATCCCATCCTACATCTCTAAAATCAATTTTAATATTGTCCACCCACCTATGCCTTGGTCTTCCCTGTGGTTTCTTTCCTTCTGGCCTTCCCACCAATATCCTATAAGCATTCCTCTTCTCCCCCGTTTGTGCTACATGCCCTGTCCACCTCATCCTCCTTGATTTAAACATTCTAATTNAGTGATTGAGGCTAGCTCTTTCTAAGGGGCCCAACTGAGTAGGTTAAACCTTCCTTATACACCTGAAGACGGAGACAGATCCAGTCTCCGAAACGTTGTGGTATTTTTGTCTTTTTTATATACCGGACGATGGGTGAAGTCCAAAATCGGCCAAAAGAAGTACCCTCAGTCTATGTTCCTCCTTAATGTCAGAGACCAAGTTTCACACCCATACAGAAGCAAAGGAAAAATTATAGTGTTGTATGTTCTAATTTTTTTGTTTGGACAGCAGACGAAAAGACAAAAGGTTCTGGACTGGATGGTAGCAAGCATTAACCGAGTTCCATCTCTTCTTAATTTCCTCCTGAATCAGGTTTTGATTTGTTATTGTTGTTCCCAAATATATGAACTGTGCCACATTTACAAAACATCTGGTTCCTATCTTTATGTCATGATTTTGCCCTGCATTTTGGTGACAAGACAGCAACATATACTTAGTATACTCTGTATTTACTTCCAGACCAACCTCCTTACTAGTGTCAATCAAAGCTTGTGTGCCTTTCTTTATGATATCTACATTATCACCCAGTAGATTCACATCATCGGCATACACCAACAGCTGATGTGTCATGTTCTCAAGCTTTTCTGTACCTTCAATAAAGCATGTATGTGCATAACCTGCCACTGCATTAATACAGTAAACCTTCACTAATCTGTCAGTTAATCCGATGTCAAATAAGCTGAATCAAAATATGAAAATTGTTGTTCACAGCTGTGTACACACTTTAAATGGCATTTGGGAAGGCATATAAACCATTTGGCCATTTAGACAAAACTTCAGACAGTAACTTCAAACCTGCATTATTACATTCAAACACAAGTACAACTTGCCTTTATAGTGTTTAACAGCACTATTTATATCACTAAATTTTCCATTTATTTGTGTTCTAAATTTTTTTGTACTTTAGGGCTACCTCTCCCTCCAGTTAATTCAGATTAGCAAGGGTTTACTGTAATACTGACATCAGATTTTGCTGCAATCCTGCTATCACTGATGTGCTGCCTAATAACAAACTCAACAGCACACCACACACAGGCAGCTTTGCAGGCTTGAGCCACAGAGAAGTCTGGCAAATCAAAGCTGTCACCAGTCACTAATGTAAGACCAGCGATTCAACATGCGACAGTTAAAACCATTGGTAAGTCTGTGGATTTGATTCAAACCTGTCTCTCAACTTGGCAAGAAACATGACCCACAGTTTTCTTACAAACAGGACTCTTACATGCCATCATGTACATTAACATAGGCCTTCCTGTCTTACATCAGTACAAGGATATTAAAACTGACATCCAATACCTTGCGTCAGGCATACAATGTTGGAAATTCAACAGTGCTCCAAATCTACCTTCTTGTGTGTATTTTCGGCTGATATTCATTTGTACACTACATATGACCCATCCATGCTTGGTCACACTGTTGTTCCAACATTTGAGATTAGCATTGCAAGTACTATTTGCTGATTGTTTTAAGTCATAAAAATGTTTACAATTCATAACTCTTGACGAGTTCTTGCACTATCAATTTATGGCTGAAATAAGGGCTGTTACACTTTGGCGGAGGGAGGCCCTGGAACACACCTAAATCTATAACATGCAAATCTAGTGGAATTTTATATATTTGACTTATATTGTGATTTTTCAGAACACATTACAGTTATGTGGGTCAGGAACAATGAGTATATTTAAATTATGTTCTAAGTGGGATGAACACTGGTCAAAAGGAAACATACAAAATGTCACATTATTGCAAACCATACTTTACAGGACAGTTTCTGGATATCAAAATAAGGAAATAAGTTCATATGAATATGCACCCCAGGGCCTTTCTTAAAAAGTTACAGATGTTCTAATTTCAGCTTCCACAGTCACACATCAAACACTTCCTAAGTTCAGTAAACTGTATATCAGAAAAACCATCCTGTTTATTTTTCAAAACACAAGATTTCAGAGACTGGATTCTGTCCCCATCCTCCTGTTTTGTAAAATAAACAGGATGTTTTTTTAGAAAATAGACAGGATGATGGATAATGTCCAAAAACATAATACTTGTAGCAATATACCATCGTCACAAACTTTTAGATCTTATTTGTATACCAGAAGAAAACAAACAAAAGAGGTATTAATAAATTCTCATGTTTACTTTCTTACTGAGGTACTCGAAATGGTCTCCATATTCAAGGACACAGGACTCAGCTCTTCAATGAGAAAAAGAATCCCTGTGTATTTTTTACTTCAGTTGCAAACTGATGAATCTGATGTCACTGTTATCCTCTGGCATAGACTGTACTGGCACAGAAGCAGCTTCATGTCTGCAACCAATCCAGTGTCCAGACAGCCACTGATGCACTTCAAAGTAGTAATATGGTGGAGCACCACTGTGTTGACTACATGTGAAGACACATACTGAAAGCCATTTCTTCTTATAGTTCACTTACGTGAGTCACCTAAAAGTCCAGCTCACAGGTTGATGGATACCTGTTGCTGCTGAAGGTGAGATTTAATCGTAGGATTTTCAACTGAACACACATTCCTTGTGAATGCTGCTGATCTCAGATCTAGTGCAGTATGATTCATCTGTGAATTACACCTTTGCTGTAAACACAGGGGCTTCTGCCAAGTGATTAAAAATCCACTGAGAGAACACAGGGTTTGCAGATGCAGCATATGGTACTAACTCTTGCACAGACTGAACATGATAGGGATACAACTTCTGTTCTTCTAATGTATAGTGTACAGAAGGGAGGCTACTGTACGAGCTGCAAGACATCTGGTACTGATGGTACGCTATCTTCTAACTTCAAGTACATTACCTACAGTACAGGGACAGCCAACATCCCACCACATTCCACCCAAATACTATCATCAGTGGCCCATAGAAAGAAAAGTATGACAATGTGGCACTCTCCAGTTAGGGAATTTTTCTCTGTATCTTCTGACAGCAACCACAGATTATCTGTTGCACTCTTCTAGCACTAGGTGCATGTCCATTATTCCAATGAATGAAATGCCACTTTCCACGATGGATCAGTACAGTATATTATGTGCTTTCTCATGCTGGGACTGCTTCAGATTGACTTAAAATGTGCTGCTGTGCATTAGTGCATATTTGAAATAAAGACTGTTCAGTACTGTTTCAGACTGAAACAAAGTCTGGCCTAAAATGATCTCTACAATCACCACACAAAACAAATTACTCCTGGAAAGTTTTTTTTTTTTTCCAGATTGTGATGGCAGAAGATAACATTTTATAAATTGTTATACCTCTTTATAGATGGCATTTGGGGCATACAATTTTTTTAATTACTTTGATGTCCAGAAATGATCCTGTAAAATATTACATGTAATGATACCTGCATAATCGTACGCCTTTTAGAAAAATAACCCAGTAACCACTGCAGTTCTGACCCGCTCTTAAGCCGTATGTGTATGCATTTATGCCTGAGCGTTATGGGTCCTGGATAAAGTTTTTTAGGACGTTCTAACAGGCCAAGAATGGCGTGGAGTGTCAGTCGTTACACTCGCAAACCAACACTGCTGTCCAAAATTTCTGGAAAAACTCGATATGTCCGCTGAACCTTTCCATTCTCATTTAACTACAATAAACATCATCTGAAAAATTTCGTAGTTTCTTTTCCAAAGACATCCGAAACACAAGCATTAACGTATACCAAATGCTAGATAAATACCCTAAAACAAGCTAGGGCAACGCCCTTCCTACAAGCAACATTTTGGAACATATAGCTTTTCCAGATTCTACATTTAACAAAAATAACTTCATCATTAACATGCATTAACATTACGGGCAAAAATTGTTTCGAAATAAAATATTTCTGTAAACCATTGGGAATAGTCCTCAATGCCCAACAAGATCCGACAATAAATTGTTGGCCACACATCCTACAAAAATTTGCTACGGCTTCACGCCGTTGCTTTGCATGCAAAATCATATAAACATCATTCCCCTAACATTAACCAACATGTGATTTCTCACTGATCTAAGAATCTTGGGAAATTACCCATGAACTCACAATTTCACCCACCATCCAACGCGTTGAAACAATATGGAGGATAAGAAGCGCTACCAATAGCGAAATCAAAAACTCCTAAGCTACGTGTTGAATTTAATGTCCAATGCAATTTAGGGAATTAAGCATTTATACAGAGGTTACCGTATATTTAATTCACGTGCTTTAGTAAAATTATAACATTTAGATGCATTACAATATCAGTTCCCTTTTCGTTAGTTTTATCAGCTATGTCAGTTACGTTTCCACAGGTTAGAGAAGTACGTATCATAGTACACGTGGTCTATCTATCCATTGTATCGAATTTTTACTGTGACAAATTATAACAAGCGATTCTTAATATATATCTTAAGTCTGAGAGTATATACTATTATTATTTCGCACATTTACTTCTTCTTCTTTTCTCACATTTCTATTTTTAAATAAATACAGGAATATTGTTTATGAAGTAACAGACGCCTTGCATAAATCTTTTTTTTTTTCTTCTAGCCATAAGAGTTCTGTAACTGACTTCGGGTATTCTTTTCTGCTGTCTTCAGACAAAATGTTCATCATTGTTGGTTACAATCCCAGATGATACGTTCCTCGGTTTTCAGCCAATCACCACATTCGCATTCGGCCGTGGCCACAATGATAGATCTGTTGAGGTTTGCTTTCAGACTGGTGTGGCCTGCTCTCATACGGTTTATTGACACGAAGGCAAGACTGTTCATTTTTATCCCGCGGAACCACTGAGACGAGCCTTTCCTGTAGTACCTTTCAAACTAGCTTTCTCCTCTGTCCCGTTTGGTGTTTTGACATGAACTGCGAAGCTCTTCCTGGCTTTTTCCACTGGGTTTTAAGATCTGCCACTGATAATTAAATTCGCTTAGTGGGGGTTGGAATCCAATTGGGTCCACTCGGCACGGCGGCCACTGATTGGTTTATTGTACCTGCCCCGGGTGATTATGATGATGGAGAATTTGGTGGAATGAAGATTGGCAGGGGAAACCGAGGTACTCGGAGAAAACCCGCCCCAGTGCCACTTTGTCCACCACAAATTCCACTTGACCAGACCCGGGCCGCCGCGGTGGGAAGCCAGCGACTAACCGCTGCCTGCCACTGATAATATTAATTGACTATCTCTACCTAATTTGATTAATTCCTTTGCTTCCGAGTCGGGCCTCTCATTAAATTCAACTCCGCAGTGCCCCGGGATCCAGTAAAATTGAATTTTTCCTCGCGAACTCAGTCTCTCTGTTTTATCTTTAAGCATCTGAGTAACGTGCTATGTGTTGTTTAGTGTTACCAATACCTCTTAACTCGCTTGCCGGGTCCGAGAAAATCTTGATGTTTTGCTCCGAGTCTCATTTTTTCGATGATTTCTAGTGTTTCGCCAATTTCTAGTGCTTCCTCGTGAATGTGGACGTTATCTTAGCTATCCTGAATATCCTACTACGATCATCTATTATATCTATCGATGGGAATCCTGCGAATTGGTTGTCGTCCATTTCCATTGTACCGACGAAATACATTGGCATCTGCAGCACACATTACGAACAACACAGAGAAACCCGTTAGCAAGATACAGTAGTAGCATGCGTCAAGGGCGTCAAGTACATTGTTGTCGAATGGTCATATATTTGATTATTAATGCTTTTAAAAGGGTTAGCAATTTAAAAGCAGTACTCCGTATTGTAACACGTAAATTTACCAGCGGTGCTAGAGGTTTAATAACGTTACTGAAAAATGGGAAAAATGAAATTAAATGTAGGATTTGAGATTCTCACAGCGGTGTTTATGAAGATTACTGTCTTTTTAGAAGAGCCGGGACAGTGTAGTCGGTATAGTGACTGGCTACGGGCTGGACGACCGAGGGGTCGGAGTTCGAGTCCCGGGAGAGTCAAGAATTATCTCTTCTTCACATCGTCCTGACCGGCTATGGGGCCACCCAGCCTCCTATCCAATGGGTATCGGGGGCTCTTTCACAGGGGGTAAGGCGACCGGGGTGTGAAATGTCGACCGGCTTTTACCGACTGTAAGGCGATATATCCCAGAAAATAGTACTCTTCAATGAAATTCAAGTCAGTGAAAGGCCTCCATATCGAATTAGCATAATCTGTGACTTTTGGGGCTACGTGGAAAAGTTCATGTAAGGCCGTATGTAAACTAGGTATTTTTTAACGATCAGCATACTTGAAGGCCAGAATTGCCGAACAATTTTTGTAGAAGTCACCATATGGAATTTAATTAAAATCTGATGTGGTTTGTGGGGTAAATGGGAGAGTTCATCTATTGTCTTACGTAAATTAGCTTCTATTATGAATCAATATAGCGGAAAATTGGAATTGCAGAGGAGTTTTGATGAAGGTTTCCGTTTCAAATTATAAGCAAATCTACCCAGTGGTTTAAGCTTCTGTGCTATGTCAAAGCAAGATGGGCATGCAATTGAAAATGGAAGTTAGTGGACGGTGAAAAGAAGACTTTACGTTTGCTGCTTGACAGTGAGACTGCAATAAATCCGTTGCCAGAATACGACCAGTGAAGGCTGAGAACACTAGTGTGCGTGTACCGGTGAACTGCAAAGTGTGTGGATCAGCGGTAGCGCTGCATTTCTTCTAGTTACGAGCTGAGTGTTTACGTGCAGTAAATCCAATCATCCAATCCCAAACCCGTCTGACAGACACACCCCACCCCTACACGTGACAATAAAAATACATAAAACTTAAACGAACACATAAGTGAATAAATACTCGTAAATATGAACTTCATCCAGCGGCATATACACGTTCTTCCATGTTATCAATGAAGGGAGCAGAAAATGTTTCAGGAGGGTGCACTCGTACAGTGTTTTACAGACATCGGCAGTGCTCAAGTCGCTCAAGTAGAGCGGAACATACGCGACGACCACGGCTGAGTCCAGTTGCAGTGTACATCTTCCAGCGAGACACAGAGCATGCTACTTTTCGGCCGGAGCATGCGTGACATTCTGCCCCGGGTTGTAGTGTTGCTCCTGTTTCAAGGTAAGCAAGCAGCTGTCAATGCATCAATCGTAGAAGCACATAATGAGAGTTTCTTAAATGTTCATTGGTCTGTTAACAAAAGCCGGCAAACCAAGGACACAAGTTAATTAGCAAAACATGCATTAATTCTGCGAAACCTAATTAATCTAAATCACATTTAAACATTCAGTTAATAAAGCTCAGAAAACACACTCCGCCTCCATTGCAGATACGAATCGCTTAATGCTGTTTCGGGAAGTAATCGCTGTTCTATTGTAATAATATAGATGCACTCTCTGGGCGAATATAAATATTTAAACGTGAAAGCAGATGGTACATGTAGTTACCACAGTGCTAAGACTATTAGTCGCGGTGCATGGGGAAACCCACCCCCTCCAATAATAATAATAATAATAATAATAATAATAATAATAATACCACAGTGCTTTAAATGATTACTTGTATACCGTTTTCAACTAACGTACACATTAGAAGTTACATTTATGGTAATATTACGCCTGTATTTAAAAAAATGTCGTGGAGACCCATAGGGTTGTGAGACGTCGGGGCTCCCACATTTTCTAGACAGTCGGCTCACAAATGGCGGTCATTCAATTACGTCAATTGAAAAGTACAATGACCTCACCTGGAATCGAACCCGCGACCTTCCGCTGAGGTCATTAGACATTGTGTTGGAAAGACTACAGTTCTTATATACTGAAGAACATCGTACATGCAGTTGCCACTTCGTTTAATATTATGGGATGCGATGCCGTGTGGTCTCGTGGGTACGTATCGACGTTTCGGAGGAAAGTACTGCCATCTATGGAGAACTGCTATACACGTGCCTAACATTCTGCTGAATTTAAGGTGTTGTATCACAGAAGAGGATTTATTTCCAAATTGCGCCTTACGCACAGGCCGGCCGCTTTTACTCTCTAGGAAAATTCCTGGTAGTCATTTCTGTTAGAGGCTGAGTCGACCGCAGGGCCACAGTGCGGCTGGAAGAATTATGTTAATTGAAATATCCAACTGCTTCATCGGGGTTCGAATCCGCGACCTTCCGGCTTGTAGCACAGTGCCCCGATGCGTGGTCCGTTTGTTCCCGTGACTCTGCTTCACTTGCTGGCAACATCTCGGACTACAGTAGTTTTCACAGCCACAGCTATGAGATCCTCACTTCCAAGCTGATAATGTCACTTCTCCATGAACTGATGTCACGCATGGAACGCTCCTGTCACCCGCTCCGCATGACTGCAACTGGCAGCGGTCTGTGCCATCCACTTTCAGTGGTACACTCTCTGAACAGAGTGCACGTCCTACAAACTGTAAAGACACAATGAAGAAGGCATGTCGCCCGTCTATGAGTTTCAGCTTCAAATCTACTGGATGGATTTCGATTAAATTTGGTTTCGTTTGCCAACACTAATTGTTGTGTGGAAGATTTAATCTGATCAAAGTTATTTGATTTGTTTCATTCTGGTCCGTCACAGCGGGCCACAAACACATGCAGGACAGCATCAAGAACCCTCTTCTCGAGAACGACAGGAGGCACACGTTCGGCCCCCGTCAAAAGAAGTAATAAGAGAAACGATACGAACCCGCTTGGTTTACGAATTCCAACAGAATCTTATCAAACTAACTACGTATAAATATTTTAATGTATTGGAACAGCGGCTGTAGTTTAAAGACTTTAGATTTTACAGCCAATTGTATATTATTTATATTGTATGTATATATTTTAACTTTTAGAACATGTACTGTAATAGTGGCTGCTAACTGTATTGATGTATAGGTGTCCCTCTGAAGATGGTCTCTGAAGACCGAAACATGTAAGGGCATGAATAATTGAAATAAGAAAATCTTAATTAGTCACACTGGACGGAACTATTTTACTTTTTAATGATCAAAAGATATGTTACTACCGACGGTCAGTCAGCCAGTCTGTTTGGGTGTCAGGCACCCATATGGGGCCCAAGACCACATTTTTATTACTGTCAGACAGTTGCGGGTTTGTTGATGTGGGATGTCTTCTCTGGCGAGAAGACGGACCTGTAATTTACAACTGTTGCTGGTCCTCGCCAGCGCAGTCATTTTAGGATCAGAGTCCCGCAGGACTCATGACCATATTTTACTGTCTCAGATTCGAGACTCCTCCAACCTGGAGGGCGAGGTCCCAGGAACAGGGTGGCCCGGTTATACCCCTGGCACTGGGTTCCATTTTCGTCGCCTACTTTGACTCGCAAGGGATGCGGTGAAGATATTCGACCCGGCTCCCGCACAAGTTTGCTATGTATTCAAGTCGAAGTGTTCCTTTTAAACGCATAACGTGCAAAACAACATATCTTTCTTGTCCAATTTCCAATACGGGTTATCCTTGATAAGTACGAACGAACAGGGATAGCTTTACTTTTTACTTACTTACTTGATAAGAGGTGGATCCTGAAGGGTTCTGAGGATGATGTCAGGTATAGAGGATGATGGACAAAGTCCAAAAGCCAGTAATCCCAAGGAATAACAGTCATATTAAGAAATTACAGTGTACATATATAACTAAAAAGGAAAGACTAGGAGTAAAGATTAAGGTCACATTAGGTAGCTCTATTATTCTAGAAGAGGGTGTGTGTGTGTACATGCGTGGCAGGAAACATCATGGAAAATTGTCATGTTTGAAAGTAAGATAAATTGATATATGAGTTGATACCCATGTTCTTTGAAGTCTAGGAGTCATTTAGTGTCAAATTAAAATAAATATCCTCAGGAATGTTAAATTAGGAGCGATGAGTCATGATTTGGACATCATCATGTTTGTTTGTTAAGTTGTACTCCTGGATAAATCAATCAATATAGTTCCTAGTATGCTTGTAACTATGTAGATTTATTTTGTTAACTTATATTATGAATGACGTGTCCAAATGTTACTATGTAGCAAAACGGATGAAAATAAAATACAATACAATACAATACACATGTTGACACAAAGCATGAATTCCTTTGATGGACGCCATCTTGCTCATCACTCATAACTTAGAGACGGGTTACCTAGACAGGACTGACAACTGATTCTACTTACACGAAACAAAAATGTGAACGGTGACTTCTAAAACTAAACTCATTTAAAATTCCTGAAAGTATAACCTAAACTGCCATTAAACGCATCAACAAATATGCAAACAACTGCTTTCACAAATTCCGAGAAATGTGCATCCCTCTGAGGAACAAATGAGGCTGACTACCAGAACAATAACCTGATGCGCTCAGTATGTAGGTTAGGGCTTCCCGAACAGACACTGGCTTTGATGTGGACGAATTGTGCGTATGAAATGACTGTGTGTAATAAAACAAGCCCACCACTAATATTTATATCAATTTTCGCCAACAAAACATATGCTTTGACCAAAGTTATAAACACTGACAACAGGAGTTCATTCTGCAATAACATTATGGTCAGTGACATAGAGATTTCGTAGTTACTGCGAGGCTGAAGGAGGAGTTGCGGACACTGGGTCCAGTGACCACGGACTGCCAGCTGCCAGTCGGCGCCTTCAGGCGGCATGCAGAAGGACCGTTAGACAGACGCGTTCAAAACAAAACAATGCGGAAATCGCGAAAATGACGTCGCTCCCTTCATGTGAGCATTATGGAAGCAATATTTTAGAGAATTTATGAAAGCCGTAGATTTTTGGTCCGTTCACAAAGAAGAGTCGCTTATTAGCTTCAGTATTTCAGTCCGCCTGTCAGCACGTTAACAATCTGTGGACCGCTGAACGAGTTTCCATGAAATTTCAAACTGGGAAGTTTCCTAGGATTTGTCGACACATTTCAGTTTTGGTTAATACAGGACAACAAAAAACAGGCAATTTACACAGAGACCTACTTACATGCTGTTACGCGGGCACCTGGATTGGCATTCCCTGAATATCTGCAGAACCAAAAATGTTTCAAGTAAAAATCGCAGGCAATATATACAGGCCCATCTGTACTATATACTATCACGATTTAGGTATGACTATAGATGGTGTTTGGATTGGTGAATGGATTTATTCACGACTTACACAGGACTCGGAACTACAAAAAAATACAGCACTACCGCTAATGTACACTTTAAGAATTGCCACAGCACATGTCAAGCCTCAGTCTTCTAAAACCTTCACTAGTCGTTGTCTGGTAACGGCTCTCAGCAATTGAGATTCTTCAGCTTCTGTCCTCACTCACTGCCCTCGGGCTAAAATACTAGTCAGAACTGAACTCATTGTCAAAGTCAAAGTCACATTACGACTGACGGTCAGTCAGTCAGTCTCAGCGTCGAGCCCAATCTGGGGCTTCTGACCAGATAATTAATTATCACAGTTTGAGAGTTTTCTAACGAGAGGACGGGTCTGTCTTCTGTCAGAGTCATTGTCTGCAGTAGTAAGTCATTTGTCATAATATAAAGGATATTTAAATTTTACATGTAAAACATATTAATAAATGTATATAAAATATATACAGGGCCTCTGTCAGTCCAGGCTCAGTACAGCAGATTATGCCCTATTTCCAGTAGCTTCCACTACAACGGCAGTCTAGTCATTTGAACGGTCATATGCTTGACCGCCGCCAAGTTCAAGCCTCTTTACTTTCTATGTCCGGCTTCGCCTTGTCCATATTGCGAAAATTTTCGTTATCATGATTTTGTACGACTTCCGCTTTACAACAACGGAATTGCTATAACTGTCCTGATTATAACATCTCGGTAAGGACCACATACGTAGATAACACTCCGTTTACAACAGTAACTTTATTGTTGTGTGCAATTCGTTGTCGCGGGAACGTGTTTACCGAACCGTTGTCCAGAAACGGTCGTTGCTTACAGTCACATATACATAGGTATATACGTATACACCTGCGGTCTCTGCGAACTGGAGCTCTCAATCTGTTGTTAGTTTCCGAAGTCAGACTGAAGACACTTCCAACAGACACCGCTGTGAGAACCTCGGACCTCACAGATTACTGGCACGTCAGTGCAGGATACTGGTGGGGACGCAGCAGGAGGCTGGAGGCAAGACCTCCACGATAAGCTTTTACAGTATATACTGTGCGGCACTCACAGGGAGAAGAATGCACACGACACTTTTGTCTGAAAATATTAAGGGAAGAAACAATATGAGACCTAGGCAGGGGGGTTGGGGTGACGTGTGGACTCGATCGCACTAAGCATAGCGACGAGCCTCGCTGACATTTCTCGACCCCGTGTCAGCTTCGCAAGGAGGATCACAGAACACAAAACATGTAAGACGCTGTAGGATATTAAGGCAATTTTATGCGGCAGACGTGACCGCGCATGTACACTATAGCCGCTTTCTTCCGGCAGCAGAGCCAGTGGCTGGGCAGACGAGCTGCTAAGTCGGCCAGCAAGCTCAACCTGCCGGTCACTGGTGAATGAAGAGTGGCGCCCCCCTAATGGGGCCAACCTCGGCCGTCGGCGGAAACAAGCCCACTTTCCGAAAAAGCTGTTTGAAAGGAAACTGAAATATGATGCATAATTTCGAAAATAATAAATAGTAGTCTACTGTTACACACCGTCGTCAGAAAGAGCCGGACTCAGCTTCCAAGACAGTCTGAGCTGACAGGGTAGCCAAACAAGAAGATTTTCTCTCAATGCGCACGGCGCAGGTTTAGGATCCAATGAACACAAAGCGGTAGCGTAGGTTGAGGCACTATGCTACAGGCTGGAAGGTCGCATGTTCGATTCCCGATTAGGCCATTGGACTTTTCAATTGACCTAATCCTTCTAGCCGCAATAACGCCCTGGCGTCGACTCGGCCTCTAACAGAAATTAGTACCAGGAATCTTCCTGTCGGTAAAGGGGCGGCCGGCGAGTAAGGCTGACAACCTCACCGCCATCTATGTTTACAAAATGTGAGAGCCTCGACGTCTCACAATCCTATGGGCCTCCATGGCCTCTTACAGGGGTAGCTTTACTTTTCACTTTTATGAACACAAGGCATTTCCATGGGAATATCGTTGCCCAGTAATGGGTCTACACGCTACAGTATCTAACTGTGACGGCACCTTGTCCAGACAATTCTCTGGTTTGCAGACGTCTCGACAACCATTTGGAACGCGATGGATCTCCGATACTGGAAATGCGTGCTGAAGAGGACCAACTCGTGTCCGGACCCAGACATAAAGTTCTTCATCTACAGTGGGTAAGGTCCTGCTCGTGTTTTGTTTGCAACGTTCCTTAAGTGTATACCTCTACAGACTACACACCAGGTAATATGAGTATTAGGCCTGTCTGTATAAGTCAACAAATTTATTTTCAACCCAGGTGGATAACAGCTGTTTGCATTTTGTCATGTTTTGTGTGTTGCCAACGAGAGCTTGCATGACTGTGTCTGTCAGATTCAGGGTGTCTGTCCACACTGAAGAGATATTCTTTTTCTTCTGGAATTTGATTTTGCGGAATTTCATTGGACCTTGCAGCAATATTTCGATTTTGGCTAAAATCAGGAAAGAGTAACGAACAGTTAGCATGCGCTTCCGCACGCAACTCAATATTTCGAACAAACGTTGAATGCCCTTCCGTCGGAAACTCTTATGAGAAAATTATCTTTATGCTGTGCCCTCTTTTAACCCCATAATTGTTAAACTGATTTTGATCAAATTTCATACTGAGTATTCAAGAACTGAAACTTTATAGGCAAAATGAGCTGGGCTGAGTTCACCGCCAGTTGCGTAGCTACTCAAGAATTTTCCACTATTTTATGGTACACGAAGACTCATCGCCATATTAACGAAAGCCTGCCAATGGCCCCTACTGTGGGACAGTGCATACCACCCCGTCCTATTTATCTCATATCCATTTAAATATTATCCTACCACTCATTCCTAGGTCTTCCTAGTAGTCTTTTCCTTTCCGGTTTTCCCACCAAAATCCTGTATGCATTCTATTCTCTCCCATCCGTGCTACATGCCCTGTCCGTCTCATCTTCCGCGAGCTTATCATTTTAATTACATTTGGCGAAGAGGTCAAGTTATGAAGCTTCGATTGTGCAATTCTCTCCAACCTCAAATTATTTCATCCCTCTTTGGTCCAAACACTCCCCTTAGCACCCTGTCCTCAAACACCCTCAGTATATGCTCTTCCATAACTGTTACAAACCAAGTTTCACACCCATTCAAAGCCACAGGCAAAGGTAGAGTTTCGTATATTTTAATTTTTACGTCTTTGGACAGCAGACGAGAAAGGAAAACCTTCTAAACTGAATGGTAGGAAGCATTCCCCGTGTTATGGTGCACGGTCAGGGAACTTAGGGAGAACTGGTGACGTCCTAGAATTCCCCAAACCCTGTCTGCATAGAGAGATCTCTCTCTTGCGGTCCTGAAAAAGGAAATTTCAAGTTACATGGATCAGGTTTCCGAATTTGGTCGGAAAAGACAAACTCGGCCAGATTCCTTTAACAACATATACAGAATCTTCCAGGAGGAAAGGTCAATATTCTGGTAGTTCATAGTATCGGTCATTCTAAGCAAAAAAGTGTACATGTACATGTGTCCTATTCCGAACGGTTTCTGAGACAGAGCTGTACACTGTACAGACGAGCAACACGCCATGTCCTCACACGAGTTGCAAAGCGCATTGATATTACCGGTGGAATTTTCCAAAATGCATTGTACTAGGTAGTCGATCGCGGCGGCCGCGTGGTCTAGGGTATGAACTGTCTTCGCTTGCTCGAACGCTGGGACCGTGGGTTCGAATCCCACTCAAGACATGGATGTCTGTTTATGCGTTTATTCTGTGTTTGTGTTGTTCTGTGAGTAGGTAGAGGCCTTGCAACGGGATGATCGCTCGTCCAAGGAGTGCTACCGTCTGTGTAAAAAAAGATTACGAAACTGAAGAAGAGGCCAGTGGCCAACAAAGGCTACAGAGCCATTGCTGAATGAATGAATGCGTGATTCTAGGTAAACTGTACTAACTTTGTCACTCGAACAACAGAAACAGTACGCAATACGTTTATATCTTTCTTATCAACAATTCTTGAGGCATACAAAATACCAGTAGCTTCTCAACTGCTTCATACAGTGACTATCCACATCGCAAGCAGCTCGATGTGCAGAACCCGAGGTCGCTCCACTATGGCGGCTGGGACCCAGACAAGCGCAGTGTCATCATCATACACGGGTTCAACGAGTCGGAGAGTGACACTCCAATATCATTCGTCACCAAAGGTACGTGCCACAGTGTTTGTTCCGTGAAGATGGAGGAATTATGTTCCTGTTCAACACAGTACAGCACATATCATATACTTTCAGCATACACGGAGCGCGGGGACTACAATGTCTTCACGGTGGACTGGGAGCCTCTCACGAAGTTCCCTTGCTACCTCTCGGCTCTGAGCAACACGCGGCTGGTGGCCCAATGCTCGGCCCTTCTGTATAGTTACCTGACACGCCACGGAGCGCGCGCCACCAGCATGCAGTGCGTGGGACACAGTCTCGGAGCGCACATCTGTGGCATGATGAGCAGCCACCTGTCGTCCAAGATGCACAAGATAATCGGTACACCGGCATCTCTGCCTTCCTCAGCAGTACGCACTTAATTCCCGCGTAAAGTCGCTAACTTTCTTCAAGCTGGTTACTTAATCACGCCGTCAGTATTGTGATTACGTAGCGTCTGGTGATGATAGGACGATTAATGAACAACGAGCAGCTGGCGGAATGAGAATTGGCAGGGGAAAGAAAACTGCTTGGAGATAAACCCTGCCCCAGTGACACTTTGTCCACCACAAATCCCACTTCACCCGATTTTGTACTGAACCTGAGTCGTCGCGGTGAGAAGCCGGCGTCTAACCGTCTGATCCTCAATTCACGAAGAAATTTGATACACATTTCTTAATTATTACAGATCAGTTTTTTAATTCTGAAAAAAAAATGTACGTACAAAAATGGCCTAGGCAATGCCCATCCGGCCCTCGGCAGCACATTCTTATAAACATCTTATTCTATCATAGCGGTCACTCCGCGATTTTTGAATATACCTCTTAACTCTAAGAGTATATACTATTAATATTTTGTATATTTACTTCTGTTTCTTTTTTAATAAATTTCGTAAGTTTGTTCATTAAGCAACACGCTATTAAAACTAACTGTAGGACGTTCACATGGACATGTAACAGTTAAGCCTCGTAGCACGAAGTAAGCAGTGGACCATCCCGTTAATGTTTAGGCGCCAGAACCTCTTGGAACGAGTAGCGTATGTCACGGGGGTGTGACAGCCGAGATGAGCCCCCGAGCCAGAGGCTGTGACAGTGTGAACAACATTATTAGTTCACAGTCATCACCAGTTCTTGGCCTTATGGAATCTGTAAGAAAAGTTGGCCCTGTAATTAGTTAGTTAAGCACTATGCCATGAAGGTTTATGGGAGAGCAGAGGCATCTCTCCGCCATTCATGACCTCGGCACAGTTGGAAGTGACTGGTCAGCTTCACGCCCCTACCACTTTACCATCGGGATAGAGCCACCACAACCCACTGGACAGGAGGCTGGTTGGGTTCCAGAGCCGGTCTTGAGGCTGCACTGCTGGGACTCGAACCCGGGCCATCGAACCTGTAGCCCTTTGCTAAACCGACTAATCTATACAGGCTCCTCCTTTAAATATGAGCGGTAATTCTATGTACCATCTGCCTTAACATTCAAGAACCCTGCATCTTCCCCATACAGACTATTATATGCCGATCACCGTGGCCGCGCGGTCTGAGGCATGAAGTGTCTGCACAAGTTCAAACACTGCGGTCGTGGGTTCGAATCCCACTTGTGGCATGGATGTCTGTGTGCATTTATTATGTGTTTGTGGCGTCTTGTGTGTCTAGGCAGCGACCTTGCGACGGGCTGATCCCCCGTCAAAGGAGTGATACCGACTGTGTAAAATATCAAGAAACTGAAATAGCGGCCAAGGCCCAAGAAATGGCTGTAGAGGCAGTGACAGAGACAGTATTTATGTGGTATCACAACAAACAGCGATTACTGGTTTTTGCAACGGCGACAGTACGTTATTGGAGAGATACGAATGGATGCTTTAAATATTCAGAGTCTCAGACAGTTAGAGGTTACTACAATTACGATTCGTTACATAAACTGTTTGTGCGTCCTTCTCACGGACAAACGAATTTCAAACAAAATTAGTAGAGGTTTCACATCTCATGCCGTCTGTAAAACTGAGACTTTCGTGTATATGGGCCCACAAGCGGCGAAAATTCGTGTTGTGATCTTCTGCATCATGACACAGTGTGGACTGGCAGATAGCGACATCAACAGCGCCTTTCTTCGACGTCTGGCTTCTCGCCTACCAAACCAGAAGCTTTCATAGCCCGGAAGAGCAGAGTATGAGCACTCGGATACTAATTCAACTGAGTGCTATCATGAAGAATGCGGCTGATGAGAACCGGATATGCAGAACAAGCTTCTCAACAAAGTCTGGGCTACTCGTAGCAGACACGCATTTAATTCAGCGACGCGAAGAACTGGACAGGTGGTAAATATTGTGGTATATTTGCTCAAAGCAAGAACTGTGAAGCCACAGAAACAGCCATCAATAGGTAACGGTTGTGTAACAAGAAACAATGGAGTAACTGTTGGAAGCTGCGTTTTCTGTGCGGTCCGTGCCTAGGATATATAAAGAGGACCACCTGCAATTATGACGGAGCCCCCGTGCGGAGGCTGGATCAAATACCTCCACCGTGACCCTGAGAGTCGTAGGAGGCGACGAGAAGGGAAGTCTCAAATCTGGGACAGTAAAATATGGTCGCGAGTCCCAAGGGACTCGGACCCGAGAAAGACCGAGTCGGCAAGGGCCAGCAGCATGTGCAAAAGACAGACCCGTCCTCTCGTCAGAGAGGGCGCCCCACAAAAATAAGACCATAACTGTCAAACGGTAATAATTAATATCTTGTCATTAGTCCCAGATGGGGCTCGACACCAAGACTTACTGAGTGACTGACCGTCAGTTGCAATGTGGCTTTGACTTGACTTACGACACAGACTTGAGCCGGCAGTTAGAAGAGGAGACCGGCGTGAGATGGCCGCCGGCCAGCGAGGACGTGAGCCAGGAAGCAGAGGAACGTCCACTATTGGAAGACCCTACCAAGCAGAACAGTGAAGGCAGTGAATGAAGAAACTAGTCTTTATGTGATAGTGATTTGTAAAGTGCAGTCACGGGTTGTGCGTTAAAGTGTCCAATAAATCCGATTACCAATCCAAACTCCGTGTATAGTCACACTCGATTGCGTGAAAATATCCTTACCGACATGAGAAGCGGCAACAATTTATTTATACTACTTGTACCAAACAATACGAACGCTGCCTCACTTCTGGTCAAAGACAAGCCATTCTTGAACTCTGTCGTTAAGTGAAAACTAAACACCTCTGTGTTTAGTTAAGCACACGCCGTGCAGACGTATAGGAAGCGCAGGTAAAGCGCCACACATTCTTAAACTTGACAGTAGATGGAGGTGAGTTTTGACCTTCACGCCCGGCCACCTTTGCATAGGAGGATGTGTGCAACGCAATGCCAGTCTGGAAGCTGCGAAAAAGAGAGAAATCTCTGATACTGCTGGAAATGACTCAGCCACAACACTGGACGAGATTGCACCTCCCATTAACCACGAGCAAAATGACTCATAAGGAGAAATAAGATGCAACCAACAGCAAACAGGCCCGTGACGTCTTCTGAACGCCGGAAGGAAACGGCCATGCTCTCTCTCTCTCTCTCTCTCTCTCCATCTGTCATGGTTAGCATGCTCTGTGTCCTGGCCGTGATTTGAACTGGGCACCTTGTCGACACAATGCAGGTGCCTCTCCGCGTGGTAACAACAGGTACCCTATATGTCTAATATAATTAACAGCAATTAATGGGAAAATAATTGTAGAATTTAAAACAAATATACAAATAACTCGGGTACAATGTAGAAAGGCCCGGTCTCCCAATGCTACAGGTCTTGTGCTGCTAAAGTGATTTCTCGGCTGTAGGAACTTAAAATCCAAGAGCACAATGCAACTAGGTCATGAGCTAGGCTTCTGAGTAGGAAGTCACGTGATAAAACCATTGTTTACGTGGAACTGTAAACGTGTTAGGAATATCTTATAGTTTCAGGGAATAATGTGACACCTAAGTGCCTTTTAACTATAGATTCCCAATTTGTCAGATATGATACCAAATTTCGCACCGTCGCCAAGTTTGTAAATATTTCAAAGTCACGTTGTAGGTATGGCTGTAATCTACCTTCTTAAAAGCTGTCATGAGCTCAGATCCAATGGTCCATTAATTATTGATAATAGACTGAAATCTAAAGAATTATTTGAACGACAGCCATTTTGTTGGTCTTCACTGTACGAAACAAGCAGCCGTAACAAAGCGCATATGCTTTCGAAACCTGCTACCACATAAAACTTCAGGATCATATAAGAATGGCGTTAGCGTTGCCCCAACTCGCATGTCCGTCACTCCGCCATCTTTTTGTCTTGAAGGTAGGAAATTAAAACGTACTAGCATGGGACTGTCCCCTGTTTCACAGTGCTTAATCAAAACTTCCTACAAGATAGATCACTTGATCCTAAAGTTCCAGAAGGAGCACACAGACAGCACTGCGATGCCTTAAGCCTAATAATTTCCCTTCAACAGAACAGAAAAAAATAAAAATCAGAACGCGGCCGATGCTATGTTATGATCCATTGACGTCACTTCCGTGTTCTGTCCAGGTTTGGATCCCGCAAGGCCGCTTGTAAACGAGTATTCTTCGCGGGCCTTCCGGCTGACAAGGGACGACGCTCACGTGGTGCAGGTGATCCATACAAACGCAGGGTTCCTGGGCGTAGAGGCTCCTGCGGGTCATGTGGACTTCTGCATTAACAACGGCCAATTCCAGCCCGGCTGTCGCGGACACCGCATTCGTAAGTGTCAATGTTACGATGCCTAGTGACATAATGGACAGAGAAATTACGTTATTTCAGTATGGTTCGCAAGCAACTTCACATTATTTCCAACATTAATTTTCACCCCATGAAGTTTGGGGGGGGGGGGCTTCCACGGTTTGTGAATGCCACTGGAAGCTGCTGATACACTTGATTACGCCTCGCCATGAACAAAGCTCTCTGATGACAGAAATGAGGTCCAGAGACCGTGGAGGACGCGGTATATCAGCAAGCATGATGTTTCTGCTGGGAGGGGGCATATTGCTTGATGTGATGTACAAATCCCTACTCAGATGCCATAACAACTCGGTGATAACGCCAGCACGCCAGAGTGTTGCTCTCTGCACTTGCAACAAGATGAAACTGCAGAGAAGCGTTTGGAACTGCAGGATGCAGACACCATTTTAAGCAAGATTGCCTGCCACGTGCTGAAATGCGTCTCTGTGTTTCTGCTTACCCCTCTGGCTCAAGTGTTAGCAAGTTAAGCTGTATATCCAGCTATAGCGCGCTCAGTATGACCCGTCTCATCTTATGGATGCAAGCACACAAACGCGCAAATTTCTCACATCCTCCTCCTGCGCTACAGTGTTTATGTTATTATGCAGTGTAGGTTAGCGTGCCCAGTCTTACAGTTAGTTTGAAACGTTTCTCGAAACATGATGCCTCTATTTTACTATGGTTTGAAGATGGAAGCAGCAGGTCGACAAGATGGTAGGTCGAAAGAAGGCGATGATTCTTGAAAGCTTTCTCTCTGCTTTGCATTCTCGAAGTTTACTTACTCATATCACAAGCCCATCAGGGAAAGTCTGCCGAAGACTGTTTTAAGGCACTGAAACGACTAGTGAATCGCGGAAGCGCGAAAGGCACAGAGCTCGATGCTCGACCGAGAATCGTGGCGGAGATGTCCAGAATGTTACCAACTCCATCGCGATGTTTGGATTCACAAAATAGCTCGACATACGAGTATATACGCCAAAGGAATAAACCTGTATAGTCTCAATTGCCTAAGCTGACAAAGATCGCAATCTCAGTTCGAGGAACAACACACGGCACCATCTCTGTGTCCACAGGGCAGGCGCGATGCAGTCACTTCCAAAGCGCTTGCTACTTTGCGGCCACAGTGTCACGGCAGACAACGATGGGCGTCCCATGTACCGCCGTCTGTCCCAGAAGAGGGCGCAGTCTGGGCCTGCTGCCAGGAACCCCAGTTCCGATGGGAGAAGAAACACCCGATGGGTAGGTATACAGGATGGCCAACACAGACGGAAGCAGAGTGCAACCACGTGTGAAATCTGCAACTCTGAAATGATTCAAACATATCGGTAGTAATACCTGGGTGATACTCTGGCCATCAACACAACAAATGTTTCAAACAAACTAATCTGACTGTTCACATTGGGTTTATTTAATAACTGCTCCTCATTATATAGTTTTCTCCATCCTCCTGTCACTTCATCCCTCTTCGGTCCAAATATTCTCCTCAAACACCCTCAGTCTATGTTGCTCCATTAATGTCAGAGACCAAGTTTTACACCCATACAGAGCCACAAGCAAAATTATAGTTTTGTATATTCTAATTTGATGTTTGAATTCTACTGCAATTTTTAAATTATAGGACTAGAGCTTAAACATTTTCATTCTGACAAGCGTACGGAAGGCAGTCACACCTTGGGGAAGAACGGGCACACCTGTTTCGCGACATAAATTGAAAGCAACGATACAGATGACAGCAGTTTCCTCATCCATAATTTTCAACACCTGGTGATGAACGTATGAACGAATTGGCCGAAACGTGTAGTGTAAAACTCTAAAGTGAATAGCTGTTGATAAATTTTACAGATCATTTGTGTTGTACGTGAGACTGCGGAACTGATACAAGTGATACGCGAAACAAGATGCTATAATATAGCATTATGAATGGTTATTTTCTAAACTGTACATGTCACCCTGTTTCGTCTTATGTTTGTCCCTTTGCTCATGCTTTCTTTATGACCGACCTTTGGGCTGCTAAGTAAGCGTGTAAATAAGTAAAGAATTAAAAGAATGCCTGTGAATGTAACTACTACCACTATTACTAATACCTGCGTGCCGTTGCAGGGCGACGGGGACATACTGTGTGACTCTCAGGCATGGACGCGACTGTCCGTTTGACTGACTCGACCGCCTGATGGCAGCACTGCATTCTGGGAAGAAATCCAAACTGGGTTTTGTGAAGTTTATGGAAGTGTGAAGTAAATTTCCCAGGACAAATTGCGCGAAAGTTCCGCTATCAGACAATCCGATGGCGAGAATAGTTTGCTATAAATACTGGGAAAGTGGACTTCCAGTCAAAATAAATACATATTAAGCTGAGACTGCAGTTAATTGTGTGATTTAGGACCCGAATGTTCTCTAACTTTATGAGGGCGTGCTCTGTGTCCTAACGTCAACATGTCGGCATCCGCAGACAGCTCTACTTGCTGATTGCACCCTGACTCATCGACTCTGACGATCGAAACATGTTCCTCAGAAACGTCGGCAAAGTGTATCAGACTACACGGCGTCATATCACTGAAGCTAGTACCAGTAAACGTGGTGAGAGCCACGGATCTCACAACACGTCACCGACAGCCTTCACCCCTAACTGCCTGCCAAACATCAGGTCCTGCAGTTCTCCTGTTTCTTTTACACAAACCTTGTTTTGATACATTTCAGGTTTATCCCTCGAAGGAGAAGCTTCGATAGCTCAGTCGGTGCAGGGACGAGCTCTCTGGCCCACCCACCCCCTTTTCCAATAGGTATCGGGGCGATTTTCGCCGGGGATAAAATAGTCGCGGCGTGAAGATGACCACTCACTTCTATCTAGTGCAGAGGTCAGGAATGTAGGAGCTATAATTGCGCTCCTACCTACGTCTAATTCAGTACAGGGACAATTTTACATTTACCTGTGAAACTGAACGCCAAGTGAAAATTTTGGCACGACCGTCACGAAGTTGTCTTACATTAATAAAATTTAACCTTAACAGAAATCTACACATGCTTAACTTCAGTATCCGACATTAATGAAATTGGCTTAGGTCAGTGCCACCTCACAACTTCGCTCGTCGGACATACAGGAAATTAAACAGAACTCTTGTTTTGGTTGGTCTCCAAGATCGAGAAACTCTGATACGCATGGTGGCCTTCCTTCGCTAGCGAAGTTCACTACGGTGTGGCTGTAACGAACAAGACGCCTGTTCGCAAGCGTTTTGAAGAAATTCTCGCAGCTTTAAGAATGTGATAAAGGATTCCCAAAAAGTCGGTGTCCCGAATTCAGCGCACTGTCCCTCGGACTGCCGCTGCTGCCACCTGGATGGCGGCGTGTTAATCTCATTCCCACATAATCCATTAACGCTCATCACGTTCACAACGCCAAGGAAAGTTCAAGACCCCCGAGTGGAATTCCATCACCACGCACCCTTTGAATTTAAATCGGTATAACTGTTAGAACGATTTATCGCTCTTAACGTGACCTGAGACTTAAATCGCAGGAAGTGCGTGACATGGTCTCCCCACAATTCCCCGTGAGGTACCTCCGCTTCTGGGATCGCGTTATCAGTATTCAGAACTGCTGCGCTCCAGCTGTAAACTGTGTACTCCACGTTAGAGCTCTTAAACTGAGGTTACATCGATTCTTGAGCATTATAACGAAGGTGTTTAACAATCGAGTTGAAATGCCGTTTGTCGCGACTGCTGAATGTGTGAGGATTTGAGAGAAGTCGTGTCTAATTATCCCGGTGTTAGTCTGCGCACTGTAAAAGAAATGGCGATTGCGATGAACAGGATTCGAATGCCGCTACACCGACATGATAAAGGGAGTTGTGGGATCTAAATACCAAGAAACGCAACGAAGAGATAAGACCACGAAAATATTCCTAAGTTTTTAAGCGAATAATTTGTTTTGATTTCGAATGAAGATTTATCAGTGAAGGCGAGAAAGAAGAGTTAAATGCAACGCAAAGCTGATATTCTGGCGTCAGAGAGGGTTCACTGTTACACAGTGCCTCATGCTGCAACACTGCTGAATGGGAGGGCAAGTAGTGATTAGTGAATTGAAAAGGATTTGAGGGAACCGGTCGTTGCTGAATTTGACGTGTAAACTGGGCAAGGAAAATATCCAAAACATCAATCATGTCGGCCGTCTCTAGGCCGAGAGTTGAACCACGGACCTTTGGAATACGAAGCTAAGCACTCGACTGACTGTCTCTCGTATTTTACCTCGAATTAACTGGGCGCGAGATGTATGTTGTCTTCTGTTCGGAACGCAGTTCTCTCGCAGCTGCAAGAAGTGACGAGGTGCACCGGTCTAGCGGTCACCCTGTGGCCACTTATTCGGGACGTTCTTGGTTCGAATCTCAGTCCGGACGTCACTAACCTGACTGAGACTTTCGGTGAATATCCTGGCGTTTGTATAGCAACTGTCTCTCGCTGCCACTCACATCACACCCAAGCGACATGTGACGTCATAATGTGGCAATGCTGGCGCAAAGTGCACACTGAGAACGGCGAGACAACCGAAAGCGTGTCCTCAACCCAAAAGCAAGTTATTAGTTTTATGGGAAAAGAAACGGCAGGAACTGTCGGCTGTTCGTTATGTCAGGGCACGGAATAAAGACAGGGGCGACGATTCGTAAATTTCTGGGGACATGTCAGAAAATGTGACTGCCCAAATTAAGAGTGTAGCGGGTGAAGCCGTTGCTATGCAACGACCGCGATGTAAGGCGGTCACCCCCGGCAATTATCGGGATTATACCTTTAACCAGGCGACAACTTCCTTCAAATCCTTTACGATTCGTCACTCGCCTATTATCCGATCTCTTAACTCCATAAAATGTAGCATGACGGTTAGGATAAACAGACTAAAATTATGACTGTGGAGAACATCTGACATGTACAGTCTGTGACGCAACTGGGTAGCTCGCTTGTTGAATGCTTTACTTATTTTTTGATCCTGAAGATGTAGACGGCGTGTTTCACCGAAACTCTTGGCATCACAGGCCAGAAGCCAACGCTGCTGCTAGCACCCAGTTGTTTCCATGCAACTGACGACATAACAATTCATATCCTTCACTTAACTTAAAGTCGTCAGGTGATTAAGCGATGTTAAACAGACACTTCGTCTCACTCATGTTCCAAGAGACAGTGGCGGTGGGCACTGGAAAAAGTGAGGCGAAGTTGTGCAGCGTTCCGGTGTGCTGGGGCGGCTCCTGCTTCCTATTCGATTCAGAGCTCTGTCGGAGATCGGCCACCCTAACTGAGCATTACCCTGGTTTTTTACTCAGTCCTTACAAGTAAACGTTGAAGGATAGTACCGTAAATTAGGACATGACAATTTCCTATCTAGTTCTCTTGAACATGAGATTCTCATGAGAAAACAAAGATTGCTATCTCCACAGATGTGACGCCGTGTAATCCAGTAGAAGCTCACCAACATTTAGCGGCCTAGTAGTAAGTCAAGCAAGCAACCAGAAATGCCCTGAAGATGGAGGCACTATGTTTCTCCGAAACGTCAATTAATATCTACCAGGTTACGCGGTCTCACTACTTTCCATTTCCAGCCCATTACTGATGAGTCTTCTTATCATTCGACAGCAGAGATCTGAGTTATTGAGGGCGTCTACAGTTAAAGCTATCCCTGTAACAGGCCATGGAGGCCCATAGGCCTGTCAGACGTCGAGGCTCCCACATTTTCTACACAATCGGCTCACAGATGGCGATGAAGTTGTCAGCCTTACGCGCCAGCCGCCCTTTACCCGCAGGAATATTCCTGGTACTCATTTCTGTCAGAGGCTGAGTCGACTCCAGGGCCGTAGTGCGGCCGGAAGGATTAGGTCAACTGGAAAATCTAATGACGTCATCGGGAATCGAACCCTCGACTTTCCGGCTTAGGCGACACTCGCTGCAAGCAATGCCCCTGCCCAGAATCAAACCCACCTCTTTCGATCGCGTACTGATCTTACTGAGTCATCTCAACATCGGTTGAACTTGTATCCGCATTTTGGTATCATTACTGTTCAACAATACCCACTCCAGGTGTAGTAGTTCCTGCCAGAACTCGGCGGTTGGAGGCCAGCTTCTCACCTCGCAACCTTGGGTTCGGTCCCTGGCGAATTGGAACCGGAGTGCAAATCTCTCAGTTTTGTCCAGTTTTTCACTGTACCATCTGCCACCTCCCCCCAGAGATGCGGGCGGCATTGTCGCATCCTCAGTAGCCAAGTTGTTGACTCCAGCCTGACCACACAGCAGTTTCCTAAATGCGCATGGCAACACGGGAGTGAAGGGGCAAACGACAAGTGAAACTCTGAACACGCCTCACCTGCTGTACATTGTGTCATTCGTCGGCTGGTCGTCGCGTGACTGTCTTCAATTGACGCCCGACATGAGACGGGAGGCGGCCGTCACTGCTCTGCTGATCGGAGCCCTCTTATCAGGTGAGGACGTCACGCAGTGTATGCTGTGATACCTGGGTACCAGAGGTTCAGGGGAAAACATCCAGTACATAGTTAATGTTTCTGGACATTATCCATCGTCCTGCTTTTGTCTAAAACACATTATTGTTTTTATTTAAAAACGTTTCGGAGACTGGATTCTGGCTCCGTCTTCAGGTGGAACCTACTCAGCTGAACACAATCGATAGAGCTGGTCCCTATCTCCGGACACATGCAGGGCCCAACTGAGTATGTTTCCCCTGAAGACGGAGACAGAATCCAGTCTCCGAAACGGTGTGTTTGAAATAATAAACAGGATAATGGACAATGTCCAGAAACACAATTATTGCATTAATATATCATCTTAGTTTGGAAGTTAGTTCATCTGAAATGCTGGTAGCCACCTTACAGAATACATGGTATCACGGCACGTAAATTAGTTTTCACCACTATAAAAATCTAACATCTCAAAAAGTTTATCTTTCCTCCAACAGCCAGTAAAGCTAAAATGTCGTACGGAAACTGCACCCACCGCTTTGATCTAAGTACTACTAACGAACACCATGGGGCAGAGAGGCCTTGTTGAGGAGCTATTAGCTGCTCAGCTTGTTGTGGAACCAGCAGTTTCATTACCGTATGCATAAAACCCCGCCACTATTTCCCGCGAGAGCCAGCTGCATCCACGTCACATATTGCCATCATGTTTTAGATGCATTTAATATTATCTTCCCATTTAAGCCTAGGTTTCCAAAGCTCTTTCTCTCCTCCAGGTTTCCGTACCAAACCTCTTGCGATATTTTCTTCCTTCCCACGTGTGCTACAAGCTCAGTCCATCTCATCCTCTAAGATTTGTTCATCCTAACAATACAAATTGCGGAACTCCCCACTATGCACTTTTGTCCCTTCTCCCGTCAGTTCCTTTTTTCGGGGCCCAATATCCCCACAGCGCCGTGTTCTCACCGTCGGTCTATGTCCTCCCACATTAGCAGAAACATGCACAACTACAGTTTGCTTCTTTTAAACTTTCCGTTCTTAGACGGCAGACGCGAAGGCGAAAATCTTCTACGAATTTACCAGTTCAATATTCACTAATCATCCTATCACTGGACAGTGAACAGCCTGCACTAACGAAAGTGTAGATAGCAAATAATCCGCGACATGTGATTTTCACGGCTGTTACCTTGCAGAGTACGGTCTCTTGGTAGGGGGTGCCGTATAATATGGTGTAAGTTAACGGAAAACGCGAAAACTTCCTCTGCAGGAGTCCCACAGACTCGCCATTTCCGATACATGCCCTCAAATTGCGTCACGATGGTGAGGCAGCATGAGGCAGCTAGGTGCAGCAATGCAGCCCGAATATCGTCTGAATAATACTTAAGACTTCAGTTCCTACCTCACAAAAAACATCGCGTCTCCTTTACAAAGACCAGTTGATTGATGTTTAGAAAGGCAATAGCTTTTAATTCTGGAAATCATAAGAAATACATAAATGTAGGAAAATGGAGAGTTTATTTAACATTAAAGCGGGTGGTACTTATAATGACCACTGTGCTAAGAACAGAGGCACGCGGTAGCGTAGTTGGTTAAGGCACTATGCTACGAGCCGGAAAGTTGCGGGTTCGATTCCCGATGACGTCACTGGATGTTTCAATTTACCTAATCCCTCCAGCCTTCCTGTAGACAGATCATATATTTGGTTGATAGACCGCCTCTGTGGTTTAGTGGCCAAGAGTTCCTGGCTACAGATCCAGAGGTCCCGGGTTCGATTCCTGGCGCTACCAGATTTTTTCTGAGATGTAGTGGTTTTGGAACGGGGTCCACTCAGCCTCGTGAGGATAATTGAGGGGCTATTTCAAGGAAATGGCGGCTCTGGTCTAGAAAACCGAAATTAACGGCCGTGGGGATTCGTAGCGCTGACCACGCAACACCCTCTATCCGCTAAAGTTGGCACTAACTTCGCCGACAAGCTGCGGCCCCTCGGTCGGTATAGTTCGCTTGAGGACTACAGGACAAGGAGAGTTACAGATATTTAACGGTGCTGATTTAAGTGCATAGCTTATTTACATACGAAAGAAATGAGAGAATGTGCCGTAAGTTAGGATGGAGATGGGGCCAGAGTCGTGGCCTATTTAAAGATATGATTTCCGTTGCTTGCGGGAGCATATATAACAACGTGTTTGCTTCCACTCAACAACAGTAACGGCTTCTTCACATGACAGCTCAGAACGCAGCAGGAAGCGTGCGCTTATGAAGTCACGCTCCCGACCAGAGCGACGTGTGTACCGCGGGAGTACGTGCCGGCATGTGCTCGGCACCCCTCGCCTGCACATGCACCACACTTCTGTCGGAATATCGTTAACAATCTGTTCTACAATCATTTTCCCATGTATAGCGACTGGCTGCCTGATGGACGACCGAGAGGTTGGGATTCAAGTTCCAGTTGAGTAAAATTTTTCTCTTCTCCATGTCGTCCAGACCTATTCTGGGGCCCACCCATTCTCCTATCCAATGGGTACCGGGGGCTCTTTACCAGGAATAAAGCAGGCGGGGAGTGAAGCTGACCACTCACCTCCATCTAGTACCGAGGGCAAGAAAACATGGATCTATACGTCATTATGGAGTACTGCTTAATTACTTAAGTACAGGGGTCAACTTTACCTTTCTCCCCTGTACTAGTACCTGGTCACACAGGTTTTCATACTGGCTCTGTGCTGTTGACTTGTGTCTGAGAGGCATCCGGCTCGAAGCTCCTCGACTGGGACACTGAATATCCTCAGTCCCTCCTAGAAAATGCCAGAACAGTTTCTTCCCATATACTTTGCACTTCATCGTTCGTTTGCCACTCTACAATTCGCAGCGATTTGGCCTGAACTATTTACAGAGTCGTTAGAAAGTGCCAGGACAAACAAAGGAAGGAGACGAAGCATTTCTGAAGGTGCCGGTGTTCGAGCGCAGGACACTGTCACTCCTCTCGTTAACTGTACGAAATCTTAGTTTTTGAGAAGCTAACAGTGCTTTAGCTAGTCGAAAAGTTTCTAGAAATCCATGGACCCCAAAGGATTATCATCGATTTCACAAGGCCTAAATTGGTCTCTGTCCTGAGCCAGTTGAATTCAATCCACGCCCCTATCTTCTTACTTTAAAGTCCTTTTCAATATTGTCATCCCATTTATGCCAGGCCTTCCCAGTGATCTCTTCCCTTCAGGTTTTCCTACCCAAACTTTGTAAGCACTCTGCTTATCTCCCATCACTCTTACGAATTCTTGCTGCAAAATTTCCAGGTTCGGAATAACTCTGAAAGCACAGTAGCACGCAATGTGTTGCAGGTTGTCTGGCTCAGCGGTCAATTTCGCAGGCGCTGTTTTTGGGCAACGTGACAAATGCGACGCGGGACGACTGCGTCTGGCGCCGCGGGGGCGGCAGGGACGCATGCCCAGATCCAGACGTACGTTTCTACTTCTACTCGAGGCAAGTATAAACGTCAAGTCATTGTTGCGGCGCGCTCGCAACGAACAGCTTCACTACAGCGACTAGCATCTCTGCCATGTCTCAACTGTTACATGTGGGAAGTCCCATTAAATTTGTCGACACACTCGAGCATAAACATGCAGCACCTATATGCTTTACTGCGGAGACGTGTGGGAGAGTGGAAGCACAGCCCCACCACTCTTCATCTCGGAAACAGATTGAGGTGAGTTGCCAGCTTCACGCCTCGGCTGCTTTACCCCCATGGAAATAGTCGCCGTTACCCACTGTACAAGAGGCTGGGTGGGGCCCGGACGCTGTTTAGAAGGGAACAAATCTCTTGCTCCTGCTGAAGACATAAACGCGTTTCCTCCATAGTCACTGAGGTATCCCAGCTCACACAGTTAAATATAGAAAGTATAAAAAAGATTTTTAATGAATCTTTAGGCATCATCTTCATTAAGTGATGTTAGAATTCTCGGCATAGTGAGACATGTTAAGAGAATTCGCAACATTTCCTTTGCGATTTTGTATACTGCATAGCTATGAAGCAAAATTCCCCGACACCTTTTCTTATAGAGCCCAGTACCAGGAAGTGTCATATTTCGTATCGCTTGGGCAAAAAGCTATCCCTGTAACAGGCCGTGGTGGCCCATAGGGTTGTGAGACGTCGAGGCTCCCATATTTTCTAGGCAATCTGTTCATAGATGGCGGTGAGGCCATCAGCCTTACGGGCTGGCCTGCCGTCCTTTACCCGCAGGAAGATTCCTGGCACTCATTTCTGTGAGAGGAAACACAGAACAGTTGGGGTGGCCATGACGCTTGCAACTTGCCGGTTATGAGGCGCTCATAATGGAGCACTTAGCGGTTTCCTCATATCCACAAGTCAGCCATCTCCTGCGTCCCATCCGCCTCTGAATAGTTTTTGTGGTTGAAACACTGTCTCTACATATCCTAAAAGCCTTAGAGAATCACACTCGACTTTATTGAGTCTTGTGTAAATATGATTTGCCATTCATCTGAGATCAGCCGTACTACACTCGCGTCAGGGACAGAATGTATACATGGACGATGTGAGCTATAGTGGACCGCGTGCTCCCCTGGCAACCCCTCTCCCCTCCGAAACACAGAATGCGCAGCAGAGTCGGATGGAGGGCAAACAACAACATAAGTGACAAGTGGTGAAGTGGGGAAGACACGCAACGGGAGGCAGATGGGTAGAGGGACAATGTGTTTACATTCTTTCCGTGACACAACATGTACTGATTTCAAAGTTACTTAAGCAGAAGCAAGATAAAACTCAAACAGTTGTGTACGGCTGGTTTCGGCTTTTCTCCCAAGAGCAGTGTTCAGACCTGGTACCCGGATTACATTGTTTCTTTCTGTTTCAGCGCGGAGCCGGCCATTAGGAAGACGGTGAACTTGGCGGCACGTGACTGGCTAAGGACCAATGGCTGGAATAGTGACCATGACACTGTCGTGCTCATCCACGGGTACGGTGGGAAGGACGGCTCTTTCCCCATGGTCATTCTGCGGGACGGTAGGATATGGGAACGTCTTCATGTTCCCCTTCTTCTTCCACTCTCTGGGCACTAATGTCGCTTACACCTGCAACAGACTTCCCCAACGTGTTTCTTCTCAACAGGTTTACAACCCACAACCAAATTCCTAACCTGTACGTGGTTCACTCTATAATTATGCGCCTTATCATCATTATTACGGATACTTAATTGTTCTCACATCTCTTTGATTTTTTCTTTCAGTCTGTTCTTGTGTATCTTGCCACACACCATTTTCTTTCTTCTTTCGCGCTGTCCACATCTGCGTTCATTGCAGCAAATAGAAGAATGACAGGCTTGTATACGGCGTCAACGCTGTGTTCTTTCCTTTCCCAGTGTTTCTATTTATAGCACCTGTGACGTGGTTACAATTTGCGGGCAAAGAGAACGATCTTGTCGAAATAACCCAGTAGGTTAACGCTTCGTATCGGAGAATTTGCGAAAAGAAAAAACTGCACATCTTTTGATAAATTTAGTAAATAATCGTGCGTCGCCAGCGTGCATATTGTTGCTGCCCACTGAACAGAACTAGTAGTATTGTGAGACAAGTTCTTGTTCTAACTGAAATTTCGATTTATGTCTCCTAACGAACAGGAAACTTATACACTTACGTCAATACATTTAGCGATCAGAAGCTCGGACATGCCAAGAGTAAACAGATTCCGAGTATAAAGCAAACAGGTCCAGGATATCCAGTTTACTGCAGTATATTCCTAAACGTACGTCTACAGAGACCGGAAATAGGTTAGGTACTGTCACGTGTTTCCGTGACTAGAGACGGGATTCGGATTCGTAACGGGTTTATTGGATCTACACTAGTCGTAACTACACTTAATTACGTATGGCACTACTGCGGGTTTACACAATTCGCTGGAAGTCGCCATCCCAGTTCCTTGCACACAGCGCGAACGTCTGCCCATTTCCTTAACATTTGGAGCGCACCTGTCGCAATTTGTTCGTACCGGAAATCGTGACGATCAGAGGAAAACTGGTCCACATGCTTTTGGTGACGTGGTCGAGTACTTAAACCCATAACTGTAGGGATGGCTGCTGTGGCTCATTTCGTCTGCTTGAGGAATCGCCATGTAAACACATCGGTTTGGAACTTGCATTAACACACGTTGCTCTGTTCATGTTGTTCACATCAGCGCTTCTCTTAATGCTCTGTTGTGCCAAATAAATCACGTAAAACAGTTGGGAAATGGTAATATCCCGCAAGATATAAACCACGTTTCGGAAATAGTCTCTGCTTCCATCTTCAAGTGATTATCAACACTTAACGTCAACAGCGTACCTGTCCAACGGCACATACAACGTCTTCACCGTCGACTGGGGCCCCCTCTGCCGGCCACCCTGCTATGCTGCAGCCGTGCACAACATGAAACCGGTGGCACGATGTCTCTCTCAGCTGTTCACATTCCTGAGGAGCAGTGGAGTACAGCTGCATAGAACGACATGCGTTGGCCACAGTCTAGGGGCGCACGTGTGTGGCCTGGTGTCGCTGACACTGCTCTTCAGAATGCATAGGATCATAGGTACGTGTAGTACAGATGTGTGGACTGGTGCTTCTCACACTGTGCTTCAGAATGCACAGGATCATTGGTATGTGTGTACAGATGTGTGGGCTGGTGTCGCTCACACTGCCCTTCAGAATGCACAGGATCATAGGTACATGTAGTACAGATGTGTGGTCTAGTGTCGCTCACACTGTGCTTCAGAATGCACAGGATCATTGGTATGTGTCATACAGATGCGTGGGCTAGTGTCGCTCACGCTGCTCTTCAGAATGCACAGGATCATAGGTATGTGTAGTACAGATATGTGGACTGGTGTCGCTCACACTGCCCTTCAGAATGCACAGGATCACAGGTACATGCTGTACCGATGTTTGGACTGGTGTCGCTCACACTGCCCTTCAGAATGCACAGGATCATAGGTACGTGTAGTACAGATGTGTGGACTGGTGTTGCTCACAATGCGCTTCAGAATGCACATAGGTACGTGCTGTACAGATGCATGGGCTGGTGTCGCTCACACTGCCCATGCACAGGATCATAGGTACATGTTGTACAGATGTGTGGGCTGGTGTCTCTCAGTCAGCTGTTCAGGTGCATACATAAACTATAGGAGGTGAGCGCAGTAGGTTTCCTTCAAACACTGGTAGCTATGAAGCTTCATGACGCAAAGGGAGGGAGGACTGTAATCTTGATAGTCACGCTCTCTAAACCTGAAATTTGTTAGAAGAATCTTCTAATCATCAGGTATGCCCTTATTCTGAGTAAGGTTCTCCGTCATTTTCCTCACTTCATGCAGAGAAATGGCAAGAATGGTAGAAACGTCGTGATATCACCTTAATTCAGTCTAAAGCCGCTTCTTCACTCATTTTCTTCCCTGTGTTATGCACTAAGCATTTTTCCATCAGAGGCTACATTCTCTGAGCAACTGACAGCTACCTTGAATAGGAGTATTATTTTATTATTATAAATTTGCCTCAGGCTGTACGAGATTCAAATTTTCAAGGCAGCTGATAGTCATAATGTGGTGTTCCGTTTATCATATCTTGTAGCCTGGTAGGTGGGTGCAGTCATACTGTTTATTGTTTATTGTATTATTTATAATATTGTTTATTATATACAGAATAGGATTAGCATATAATTTTGAAATCATAAAATGCAGATTCATTAGTACTATATCTGTAGCAGTGACTTGCATGCATGCCAATTCTGCAGACACAAATGTCAGACCCACTCATCTCTCTACCCATTTGATTAAAATCATGTTATTCTTACCTGAATTTTTAGGTCTGGATCCGGCGCGCCCGCTTATAAGGGGCCCCAACAGACTGAGGAATGTGGACGCTAATGTGGTGCAGGTGATCCACACAAATGCGGGGGTGTTCGGCGAGGATGGCCCCATGGGAGTCATCGACTTCTGTGTGAACGGGGGCAGAGAGCAGCCCTCCTGCAAGAACAAGACCCGTACGTAACTGGCGACTAGCAACAAACGTTCACACTTTCTCTTGGCAACGCATCACAGAGGCAATGTCTGTCTCTCGTCTTCATTCTTGGTCTGACAGAGCACAGGATGGGTTTCCATTAAATAGACCACTGAAGTAATTTTATTCCTAGCAACTGATACATTCGCCCTTACTGGACATGAACCACCTTCGGCTTGTCATGCACGCACTAGTAAAATGTCCTTGTGCTTAATTATGCACCATGTCATTAATCCATGCAGAAGACTAAAACTATTGCTTCATGTTTTCTTAACGAAGCCTATAGGTGTAAAGTGAATGTTCAGCTTCAGGCCCCAACCACTTTACAACCAAGAAATGTCGAAATGACATCTCAAATTAGACCACAACCGTGTGGTCCTGTAGGCAGATACTGCCGTTTCGGGAGGAACACGCATCCACTTCCAGGGTTCATGCCAGAGGAGCGTGTTCCTCCGAAACATCAATATCCGTCTACAAGACTAGACGGTGTCACACCCAGTAAGATCAGAGTCTTGACATTCATAGCCGTGGAAACCTGAAAACTTATAAAAGTAATAGATATTAATAACAGCCTATGTTGATACATGAGGCAGATATTCGAATGGAAATCATGTGCATCTTTTGCTGTGACTCTTCCATTCTACAAATAACATGTCTCAACAAATTTTAGTGGAAGCCTCCAATATAAAAATTCACTATGACTTGTTCGGCGATTCTTGATTTGGGGCATATGGTCACACAGGCAGACATGGGAAAGTTACTTGGCAAAATTCTGCAACCTTTCGTCAGAACGTGCTAAAATTTAACAAATTAGATTTTCTTTTCCTGCCAAGCAGGGGGAGTATTGGGCAGACAAAAACAATTGCACTTACTGCAATTATTATGTTTCTGGACATTTCCAGCGTCCTGTTTTTATTTAAGACACAACGTTTTGGAGACATGATTCTGTCTCCGTCTTCAGGTGGAACCCACTCACTTGGGCCAAATCAATAGAGCTGTCCACCACACCGCACAAAAAAGTGAGCAGACAGTAGACTAACAGGAATGGCAGGCCAATTTGTGCATTTCACCACAATTGTACATCTCGCAGGCATAACTGTGAACACTGTTGCAAAAGGGGCATAACTGCACAGTTCGTTACATACAGGTGATGAAATGGAGAAATGTACCTTTTAAAATACTTACTTTCATTATTTTAATCTCAGGAATTTGTCTAGAGACAGGTTAAGGAAGACGTCATTTCAGTGAGGTTTTAATGCTTCTTCCATGTAATTAGGTTGGCCATCCACACTAGCGTCCACAGTCACGTCTTTACTAGCCGTTGCTTGCTGGCAGCTCTCAGTGGCAGATGTTCCCTTTCCTCTGGGTTTTTGATCTGTCCCAGGCCTGAGTTAGAAGCTTCTAAAAGCAAAAGCTTACAACAACTGAACCACAGCAGTCATCTCACTAATTCAGCAACCAACTTACTCCGTTCCCATCAACTCATCTCCACTGACTCTCTCCACTAAGTGTCCTGCTTATAATAACATCTCGGTAATACCATCCTTCTGTTGCAGTTCAACTGTTGCGTTCGCGTCTGTTGGGATACCCAAGTGATCGCTACTCAGCCACTGTCCAGCAACGGCTCTTGTATAACTACTTATCTATATACCAAAATATCCTCATAAGTCTGTGCTTGGGTGATTAGACTGAGATCAAGATTTTACACAGATATGTTCTGTTTCAACAAAAATGTCAAGTTACCGCCTTTGCCTGGCAAGAAGTTTAATCGTACAAGAATAAACTGGCAACTGAAAAGCATGCTGAACCCAAATGGAGCAGCTGTGGCCCCAGTACACCAACAAATTCTATGTTTCAGACGCGGCGCTCTGCAGCCATGTGACAGCCGTGTGCTACATGGCGGAGAGCATCAACACCGAGACTGCTCGCGTCGCTGAAACCTGCAGCACTAGACGTTGTCCCAGTGGTTCCCGCCGCCGTCCAGGTGCATACTATTGGATTGGTGGACCTGTTATTATGGGCCAGCATACCCCAGACAGGTATGAGAAATATTAACTACATTTATACATATTTCGGTCCAGTCCTACAAATCTTCTGTCATTAACATTATGAAGCGAGTGTCTTTTCTTTCAGAGTGCCTAAAAATCGTTAAACTACTCAGACGAAAGTTGGACGCCCCTTCCATGAAGCCAGGCCAACAGACAACTGTACTACTAGTAGAACCAACGAGGCTTCAACCTACGAACATTACCAGATCACAGCAGACACTGGAAACGCTCTCAACGCTCTCAACTGTCTCTCTCACACACACACACATAGTGAAACTGCTGTTAACGAATTAGATCAAACCTCTTAAGTTCAAGGAATCACAGCATCATACTGGCAGTAGTGTTAAAGCTGAACATGGTATTCTTACCTTTTACAGTGCTGCTGGAATTTTCTGTGTGGCTAACATGGATGAGCCATATTGCCCTGGAACACGCAGTGCCTCTGGAGACATCAGATGCTGCAAAAATTCAACATAAACAATAGAGTTGGAGATTTCAGGACAGAATAAATGATACAAACTCCGTCCTAAGTGCAAACAATATATATTTATATGTCTTTGATCTTGTTCTTTCTACACTACATGTTTCGGCCTCTATCGGCCATCATCAGGTGTATACTCTTAACGTCGCTGCCACACTGAACCCAGTCTAAAACTTAACATTTAAAAACACAATGTCACATTCTTCGTATTATCAACATCTACATCGTTGATATGTGTCTGGTATGTAGATTATGTTTCACACGTCGCACCCGATATTCTTGTAGTAGCACTCTAAAAATCTTTAGTTATGATGTTTTTAAAACCTTTTAAAATTTTCTACAAATATAATATTCAGGACAGAAGTTGTGACATTACAATGGGTTTTTAAGCAGATAAAACAGTCTGCCACTTCTCACACTCAAGAACAGTACAACTATTGTAGCATTCTTATTTTAAGTAAATTCAGAAATGGATACAGAATGCTGTAACTTTATCTGCAGTTTCATACCTGGGCGACATCAGAATATTTTCTGTGGTGGGCAGTAAGAAAACTTATTCATTATTAATTAGGCAATTATGTGGCTGAATATGCAACTATATCTCCGACATTAAGCTAAAAACATATCCCGGGTCTGGTCAAGTGGGATTTGTGGTGGAAAAAGTGGCGCTGGGGCAGGTTTTCTCAGAGTACTTCGGTTTCCCCTGCCAATCTTCATTCCACCAATTGCTCCACAATCACCTTCACCTATCATCTGGGGCTGGTACAATAGGCCAGAAGTGGCTGCAGTATAAGGGACTTAGTCGCACCCCACTAGGAATAAAAAAAAGCTAGAAACATAGACCAAGAATGTTTGAGAAGAGGTTGCTCAGGAAAATCATTGGGCTGGAGAGGAGAGAACTGATTACAAGGATGGAGCTTTGTAACTGTCCCCCCCTACACATTATCAGGATCAATTCAATGAGGATAAAGGGGACGAAGCATGTAGCATGTGTACACAATTCATAATAGAGAATCCTGAAGGGATGACACCACTCAGAAGACCTACGTATATGTATAGATGGAAGAATAATAATAAAATGGATATCAAACAGATATGTTACGAGCAAACTGGATTCATCTGGTTTGGGATAGGGATGAATGGCTGGGTCTTGTGAGAATGGAAATCAAGTTCCAGATTTAACAACAGGAGGAGAGTTTCTTAGGTTACTAGAAAAGTATTTTGCTAAAGCACTCTGCTTCATGAAGTCACACTCTCCAATCAGTCTCTTCACCTCTTCCATATTTTCATTTTATTTCTTGAGATTAAAGTACAGCAGCGGCATGGTGCATGCTGAAAAATTCTACATAAAGCATTAATAAAAAATTGTTTTTCTATAAGATTCTATGAGAAATGGGGGTTACATCTTTAAGCCGTTATTTGAAAATTTAACACAGCAACGGACTCTTGTAATTAGTGCAGAGGGAATAACAGTATACTGACACAGGAAAGGCACCTAACTGAACAGATCTAACATTATATAATTAATTTATACTAACAGTAAAATTGTGTTTATTTACTGATGCCATCAGTAGCTCAGACAATACAGTGCCAATTTTAGTATAACAGTTGTAACATACAAGCAGTGTAACTGGCAGATTCTCAAGAAGGGCTCAGCTCCGTGGCACTAATTTTAACATACAAAAGCACAATATTTATTAACCTTCATTCTGCTAGAGTCTAGCAGGATGAGGGCACGAACATCAAGTACGTCTGTGAGGAACATGCAACAGAGCATAGTCGTGTGAATTTTGAAGGCTGCTTTGATAAGACATTCTTGCTCCTACCTTTACCATCTACATTTCTACACATCTTCATGCACAACATTCATATATTTTAGAGGCACTCAGGAACATGTCATTTCTAAAGAATTCTCATAGTGGTATATATTACTCAGGATTACCGATTCTCTGGACAATGATGATCGTCCAGTATTGTCAAGAATACAACCTTTCAGAAACTGGATGTGTCCATCCTCAGGTGAAAGGGTGGAAGGAACCTAATCTGTTTTATCTGAAACAGCTGGTCTCAGTCACTGAAAATGGTACCTACAATGAAAACAAAAGAGAAGGACATCCTGGTTAGACTCATTTCATAACACTGCCTGGTTCTTCATACCGCAGTAATATGGACAATATAAACTGAAAATGTGGACGTTCTGGTTGAGAAGGGGTATGCAGAATAGTTCACATCTTATGCACCTGTCTTTCTTGCCTTAGTAAAGCTCAGCAGAAAAAACAAATTAGCTCTGTGGGCCTCAAGAAAAATTCAAAAGAGCTTTTGCAGCAACTAGTGATCAGTGCCAACAGTACTGAAAGAATATTTCATCCCTGGGAGGAAATCATGGAATCACATGTCATATCAGTAAAACTGAATATCAACTGTACTGACAGCAGATCAGAAAAATGAGCTTTCTAACAAAATATGTAGACTTGCCGAAATTTGCGCACTTTTAACAATGTGGTAACATACAGCAAAGGAAATGACCCTAACAATTATTTCAATCCTTTAAAACACAGAAGTAATTATTACGTCCTATCTATCTGTCTCTATCTATCCATGGCTCTGCAGCCCTCTGTTGGGCCTTGGTTGCCTTTCAGTTTCTTACTCCTGTTTGCACAGTCAGTAGAACTGCTTGGATGGGGGATCAGCCCATTGCAAGGCCTCTACCTATACACACACACACACACACACAACAAGATAAACACAGAACAAACGCACACAGACACCCATGCCTTGAGTTGGATTCAAACCCACGCACCCAGTGTTCAAGTAGGCAAAGCCTGTTCATGCCTTAGGCTGCGCAGCAACTGTGATCAGCAACTGTACGATCCTGCCTGCTTTAACAGCAATAATTCCGCATTTTACTCACATGATATGTTTATATATTTCTATGGTTCTGACATTATAGAAAAAATACTTGCTGTCCTTTATAATGGAGATACAGTGTGTTCTCTGTAAGGTAAGAGCGCAACTTCTAAACACTACAGATGAATTTAACTTTCAAGAGCATCACAAAATTCTGAATGAGGTTCCCTGCGTTTACTCTCAGTGCCACCCAACAAGTGCCAAGACACATTTAATAAATAGGCTACTTTCTCTCACTTGCTTTATGGGGCCTCTATCATCATTTACTGCTGCATTATGTGAAGATTCTGTACTGTGGTCATATCGAGTTAATTAGACTTCAAGATCATATTCAGAAAAGGAACGTTTCCCATGTTTCTGGCATAAAAACAACTGATTCTGATATGCACTGAACCCAAGAACTTTAGTAGCAAAATGCCATTTGTATATAAACAATCAACTACTGTGGGACTGTGACGTCGGCTCCTGTCCGTGGTCTGTGTGCGCACTTCTCCCCTCTACTTTCTCTACTGTCCCCTTCTCTCCTTCCCCTTCCGAGCCGACTTAGCGGCCTAACATCTGGAGCTCTAGGCTCTTGGTTTTCCAACCGTCGATGGAGTAGGTTGTTCTCGTTTCGGACCACCGGTCGAGGTCATCCTCGACCGTCTAAATTAATTTCTCTACATAGTATTCTATCTGAGAACAGCGAACTCTGCAATCATTCTCATACAGGTATTTACATTATGTTTGTATTCTTTCTTTATTAATATATTATATTTATTCTTTGTTAACATTTGATTTGGTTATTTCTGTTTGGGTATTTCCGCCTTGCTGATTTCTTTGTCCTCCCCTGCTCGCCCTGTCCTGTGATCACGTGAACCTATACGCAACCTGGAGTATCCTCTGTAGGGTACC